AAATTTTATCCCTCCAGACCGTCCACGCCTAAACATCCCATTCCCTCCACTCATCCCATTGATTACTCCACGTGAATTTTTTTACTTGCTTTTCCTCTCTGCCTTTTTTATGCCCTTTTAATAAAAAAATATTTTTTTTTAATTTTTGCCTTCTTGCTTTTCCCCCTCCCTTGTATTCACGTGAAATTGATTTAAAAGATTTTTTCAATTTTCCTTTCATCTTTTAAAATTTGCCCTTTTTGTTTATTAAAAAAATATATTTTTATAGACTTGCCCTTTTAATTTTTTTAATTTTTGCCGAATTGTGTTTTTATTTTTAATTTCAAAATAAAATTTTTCTTTGAAGTGAAAGGGCAATTTATTTATTTTTATTAAAAAAGGGCAATTTATTATGAAAGAAAATATTTTTTTATTTAATTATTAATAAGGATTGGATTTTTGGGTTCTTGTTGACTTTTTATAGGGACCAATAAATAGAAGAATACCCGATTCTCTAATGGGTTGTATATTGAGGTCGGTCCGTATAGGACTTTTACGGGATCCCGTCTCTTAATCCCGGGGTTTGAGCGACAAACAAGGATTTACGGGATTAATCCCGCGGGATTCTGTCCCCTTCAACATTTCTAAACTCAATCCAGTTCCGGGATCCCGGCCTCTGGGTGTATATAAAAAATGTCAAAATAGGTAACAATAAGTCTCTGCAAACATCAAATTTTTAAAAAATTTGGGTTCAACTCAAACATAACTATTTTAGAGAAAAAGGGTTATAACCTTCTGATCTCTTTAATTAAATGTCTTTAATTTCAATATTAACTGAAGAAGAAAAAAAATTATTAATTGAACAAGCTTTAAATGCTCAACTTAATTCAGTTAAAAAATATTTTAATTTAAAAAATATCTATTTTATTTTTAGTATTGCCCTTATAGTAAATTTGCTGTGGGTGCTGCTATACTTAATTCTGATGGGGAAATTTTTAAAGGAGGTAATTGAAGATTTTTTAATTGAAAATTGGCTAAAATTATTTTTTAAACAAATAAGGGTAGTCATTTTAATTCTCTAGTGCTAACAAAGGGGGGGGGAGGGTGTGTCAGGGGTGCAAATAAAAAAATCAACTACCTGGGGTGTCCGTGGGATTTCGTGTTCGAAAATGTGGTGGTCCCAAATGGCATGTCCCTAAATGTTGTGACTGTGTTCCCTAAGGTCGTATCGGCCCGCGTCGTATCTCCGAATGATTTTTTATCTAAAATGACGGGTTCCCAAATGTCGTATTCTCAACTGTAGTCCGCAAATATAGCCCCTAATTAAACTACAATAAAAAATAATTTTGTAAAGTTAATGTTGAAAATGCTTCTTATGGAGGCACAATATGTGCGGAACGAAGTGCAATATGCTCTGCCATTAGTGCCATTGGGTCTAAGAATTTTTGTCCAAAAGCCCTTTGTGTTACAAGTAAAAATTTTTAAAAAATTATTTTCAAATTTAAATGTCCACACCGAATAACACAATATTTTAAAGCGAATCTACCATATCCAGCTGCTCCGTGTGGCATTTGTCGTCAAGTTTTGGGTGAATTTGGCGATTATCCAGTTATTTTTTAAATTAAATTTTTTAAAATATTTTTATTTTTTTTAGATTTTACTTTATTCAACAAAAACTAAGGATTTAAATATTACAAGTATTAGTGAACTTCTTCCTATGGGGTTTTCAAAGAAGGATATTGACAAACATGAACAAATGAATAAAGAATGATTTTTTAAATTTATTTAATTATTAAGGGCATGCAGGCATATCAGGAAGGGGTTCGGAACTTACGGCCCCTTGATCTTGGAACTTACGGCTTTTCCACGGGGGCATCTTATAATAACGTTTTTTGTCTCTTTACTTTCTTTCCCATTCAAAAATCTTTCTTTTCTTAAAATAAAACACACACAAATATGTTCAAACACCCTCAAACTATGCTCTACAATTGGTCGTGTGTCGTCATTGGGTCAACAGAAACCAAAACGCCGATCGTCGTTTATAGTGTTTGTGAAGGGGAATACCACCCCCACACTAAATAAATAATTAGTTAACAATCGCGCATATTCGCTGTATTTTTCTTTTTTTTTCTTTTAGTCTGCGGACAAAAAAATATGCGGACAGTTTTTTGGTAACTAAAAGTACACGAACAGAAAAAAAGAAATTGAGAAGACAGCTCCTCCATTTTATTTTAAATTTTGTCCGCAATAAAAAAATCCGCAAAAAAATTTTATCCGCAAATTATTTATTCTCCCCTTCTCGCAACAAAGATTAATGTTTAAAGAAAAACACGGGGGTAATTCCACACCTTTTTTCTCATGTTAAAACTCCGCCTTTTTTTCTCACATAATTATTTCTATATAAGGAGCCAAACAATTTTTAATTTAAAAATTAAAGTTCCTTCATAAATCTTTCCCTTTTACAAAAAAAGTCAAAGATGATTAGCATTATTCACCCACCCACAGAAATTCCAGAATTTGTTTCAGTAAACGGAAGACGAAATTTTAGACTGTCAGCAATATCTAATACAGTAACAATTGGCAATAATGGAGTAATGACGGCAAAAAATAATTTAAAAAATAAATATTCAAAGACTTTTAAAACTACAAAATAAAGCTAAGGAAGAGAAGCTTTCCATCAGTCTTAACTTAAAAGCTACCAGCCACAACTAAAAAGCTAAGCAGCATTTCTCTCAACAAAATTTGACAACATTTAAAGGAAAAATGTTTGTTAATATGCTTAGAAGCTGTTGAACCTTTTTAATAAAAAAAAATGTTGGCAATGGCCTCCAAAAATGAGAGAAAAATGGATTGAATTTGAGAAAGTTAATTGTTAAAGAAAAAAATTTTAAAATGGAAAAATTCTTTTATATTCATTTTTTAAATTATATAAAATTTATTTTTAAAATATCTTTATTTTAATTTAAGAAAAACAGAATTTATTGAAGAGATAGGGGGGTAAAGAGAAAGGTGTTCCTTTTTTCCCCTCATGTTTAGGATTGTCATTTCTTAGAGAATCCTAGGATATTCAGAACCGAACATAAGACCAAAACAGAAAATTCCTCGGTTCGTTTCCGATAATCTTACTAGTGTTAGTCACGAGACGATATATCGACGATATTTTTCGAGATATCGCGAGATTTTTTTCGAGATTATCGATCTCGATATCGTCTCGATCAATTTTTGAAAAAATCGAGATTTTTCGATATCGAGATTTTTCGAGATTATCGATCTCGATCTCGTATCGGTCCGTAGCAAGAGACGTCTTTGACTACAGGCGATCACTTTTGAGTCCAGAAATGCAGAAATTTTAATTTTTCTGAACCAAACACTTCCATTGATTCATTACAAATACTAAATTCACTATTTATTCACTATTTATAAAAAAATTTTGGACCGAAAATTTTGGACCGAGATTTTTCGATATCGAGATTTTTCGAGATTATCGATCTCGATCTCGTCTCGATCAATTTTTGGAAAAATCGAGATTTTTTCGATATCGAGATTTTTCGATAATCTCGATCTCGATCTCGAAAAATCGCAAATGACTAACACTAAATCTTACTAAAAAATTCACAAGACTTTTGGGAATATAAAAAATAAGAAAATGGCAGTTATTTTTAGATTATTTTAAATAAAAAACAATATTTACCTAGAATGTATTATTTTAAATCAAAATTGTTGAAAAATCTTTGTAAAAATGGCAATTTATTTTTCGTAGAATTCTTTCCACCATTTTCACAAATTAACTTTAATAATTCATCAGCAAGTGCTCGCTTTTGTGACATTGGCGAAAGAGGTGGAAAATTACGAGGATTTCGACGATGTCTATATTAAAATAAAAATATTATCCCTTAATTACAGACCTCAATATAAGCCCCTGGAGTTGAAAAACCCTTAACTTATAATGAGATGTCTCCTAAATAGAGAGTACCTTATAATGAGATGTCTCTTAAAAAGAGGGTACCTTATAATGAAATGTCTCTTAAATAGGGAGTACCTTATAATTAGATGTCTCTTAAATAGAGGGTATCGTCTCGAATAGACCCTCCCCACCCCGCCCAAAGGTCACCCAGAATGTAAGAGGTATCTTATTAGAGAGGTCCAATATCAAATTATTTTCTAGAGGTTAAAGTACCTTTGTTCTCCATCCTCTCCAACATCAGACAAATCACCATCATCACCAACAATTCCGTCCAGATTTAATAAATGGAAATTTTGAGGTACTGGAGAAGGATGCTAAAAAAAAGATTGAAAAAAATTTTAATTTTTAAAAACCCAAAAATGAGATGGTGAAGAATCTCTTGGAGTATTACCACCCCCATTATTATATTTTAAAGCTTTTGAACGTCTTCTAATACATAAAAGTACACGTAAATGTGAATGTAATGAATTGGGTAAATGAGAAAAATAAATTGAATCAGCAAAAGTTTGTAAATCCAAAAAAGGTTGTTGATGATGATTATTGTTGTGAGATGATAAAATACAATTTTGATGAGATGATTTTGAAGTAGAACAAGTTAAATGAAGATTCTATATTTGGAGAAAAATTTTTTTGTAATTTTGCGGACAAAAGAATAAAACAAGTATTGGGATATTTGTTTTTCCAGATGATTAGAAACTCTTTTTATCTCTCTTATAGGATTATTAGTTGGTATACCTAAAATTAGTTGGTATACCCTCAGACATCTATTCTTATAATTCGCAAAAACAAATCTAATCCAAAATTGACGAGGGAAAGCAAAGTTTTTTTTCAAAAAAAGTCAATTTTTGTCTAAACTTAGGGTTGTCAGTTCTTGGAAAATCTTCGGATAACCGGAACCGAAAAATCATCGGTCAATCATACTAAAGCTTACAAAATTTTTTGGCGCAGACGAGAATTCGACGCAGACTTTTTTAATAATCTCCCCCCCCCCCCACCCCCCAAAATTATTCCTAGACAACGGATTGAACACACCCTCCATATTAATTTAAAAAAAACTTCAAACCGATTTATTATTATCAATTTTAGTAGTTGTTGTTTGTGCAATCCAACGTTCAACAATTAAAGAAGCCAAAGCATTTAAAGCTAATTGCCGAAGTGAAGGAGGTGAGATACGATAAACAAGAAGAGTATGAACAAAAGGAGATTCTCTTGAAGGGGCCTAGAAAAAAAATTAAAAATTCCGTAAAAACACCCAAAAAACCTCATTCATTCCACCATAAATAAGTATAGCTTCTTCACCCATTAATACAGAACAATGCCAAAGTCTTGAAGGGAGTCGATGTTCTAATGGAGGAATTTGTCTCCAAAAATGTTTTTTATCGTCTGTATTTTGTTGTTTTATATAAGATTTTAATTGTTTTTGTTGTAAAATTTTTTGATTATATAATTCATTTATATCCAATTCCCAAAGATCACAAAGTGATTGACCTCGAGAACAAAGGCCTCCATAACATAAAATCTATTGAAAAAGAGTTGTTTAAAAAATTTTATTGAAGAGAGTAGAGGACAGTGACGGGTCGGGTTATCCGAAACCAGGACTTTTTTCAATTCGAAACATGACCAGAAAGATTTTCGAAGTTCCAATCTGAAGAGAAATTTTGGAAACCAAACCCAATACCTGGCCAGACTTTTCTCTGAGTGCGGAGTTAATTTTATGCCCCCTTCTGAAAAATAACCCTCTTTAAGAAGAAATAAATTTTTTCTAACCTTCCTTTGTCTGTTAAGTAAAGTCATTGAACACCACGACCGACCTATAGGTAACCAATCTGAAAGTCCATCAACAAATGCATCTCTAAAGATGGAAATGAATTTAAAAATTTTTAATGTTTACAATTGTGTCCAAACAAAACTTCCCAAATCAAGACAATACAAATCATTTAAACGAGATTGATTATGCCGTCCACCAAAAATAAAAACCTTCAAAAATATTTAACAATTGAGAGAATCAGAATAAAAACCTGATTTATTTCTTCAGCATGTGCACAAGCAGCAGCAGCTCTAGCTGAAGGACGTGTTCCACCTTGCTCTTTTTCAACCCAACATTCTTTGATTAAATCATAATAAATTAATTGATTGTTCCTTTAATTTTAAGAAAATTTTTTTAGAAAATTAAAATAGATTTTAGAATACCAACAAGTCCCCATATCATCATCACAAAAATATTGAGGTTGGAAAAAATATTGTTGATTGCTACCATGTCCAAGACGATACCAACTCATTCCATAGCCACCAAAAATGAAAAATCTAAAAAAGAAATGAGTTGAAAATTGAGAAATGCTGATTTTTGCAAACTTTTATAAATTATTTTCATGACTTCCACTTTATTGATTTTCTTTGGGGAAATAAAATTAATCGAAAAAATGGAAGGAAAAAGCCAGCAAAAAAGCAAAAACTTCGCAAAATTGTCTTTACTAAGGTTGTCAGTTTCAAACCAATTTCTTCGGTTAACCGAAACCGAACGATAACCCAAACAGATTAACAGAAAGACAAAATCTTCGGTCAAATTTGAAGCCGACAACCCTAGCCTTTACCAATAATTTTAAAAACAAACTTGTCATCAGCAATCCACGAAGATGTTTTGTCTCTCGGTGTTGGCATTTTTCCATTTTGAGGTATACTTTTTGGTGATAAAACGCCTGTTCGAAGATCGATTGCTTTAAAAATTAATTTCAAAAAAAAATTTAAAAAATCAAAACCTAGCAATGTTGAAGTATTCGTTAAACGTCGATGAATTTCATCAAAAAGACATCCTCCAAATATATACAAAACATCTTTATGAACACCAGCTGTTGCTCCAGAGTTTGGCCGTAATTGTAAATTTGTTTCGCATTGAATTTTGATCCTTTAAATTAAAAAAGATTTGATTTTCCCCCATTTATGTCTTAAAAGTTCGAAGTTTTATTTGCGAGTTATACTAATACGAGCGAATTATAGTAAGGAGCAGGCTAGACAATATAAAAGTAGGTTGCTTACGATCGAGTATTCAATCCGGAAACAGTGGGACCAGTAAAAAATCGGAAAGGAAAATCAGATGGGCAAAACCCCGGCCATACCCGAAAGCCGGGGCCCCGGTTAATTTAAAACAGGACGCACGGCAAACTCCTTAAAGATAAAAGGTACAAGAGTCGTAAAAAAGTCAACAACCAAATGAGTTAAGAAAACCTAATTTTCAAAAAATTTAAAAAATCCAAACCAAATATTATTTTTCTCTCCACATAGAATATAGGGGAGAATATATAGCCAATTAGTTTCCTGAATTAAAAAAAATTCTTTCAATAAAAAAATTTTAAAAAACCCTATAATTAATTTCTCTTTCATCAAAGCAGTAACCACCCCAACAAATTAAACATCCTCTATAAGAAACACAAATATGTCCAGCAACGGCAGTTAACGAATCTGTTGTTTCAACCTTTTTTAAAAAATTTAAATTATTTTTAAATTTAAATAAACCTCCAAGTTTAAAGGAACAATTGATGATGAATTTGAAAGTAGTGAACGAATATTATTCATTTTTTAAAAAAATTCCAAAATATTCAAAAAAATTTTAGAAAAAAATTTAAAAAATATACATTAATTATTAAAATTAATTTAAAAAAATACAAATTTAAATACAATAATTTTATATAAATATTCTATAATACTTCTAAAATAAATATGAATAAATAATTCCTATCATTTCATTAGATTTTAAAAACAAACAAAATATTATATGGCAAATGTAAGGCACGATTTAAATAATTTTTAAATAAAGGTAGATTTCTTTTAATAAAAATTTTCTGAATTTATATGGATAACTAGAGTTGACGGTTCCTGTGAACCCGTGAAATCCGATAACAGACTAAAAATATTCAGAAACCCAATTTTTTGGTCTCGGATAAACGGAACCATCAACCTGATGCATAACCTAAAGGAGCATAAAATATTCCCAATTTTTAGAAAAGTTAATCAGAAATTTCGTGTTCACAAGAAATAACAATTTGTCAACTTTCATACCACATACCGAAAATAGAGCCACAGAGTTTTATTAAAAGAAATCGTTAAATAATTAAACCTTTTAAAAGTTATATTCTTTGTCCAAATATATATATTTATTTAAAATCAACAAAACTAATTGAAGAAGATAAAGGCTTTGAATTATGTTGAAGTTTAGATCTTTTAGATTTTGGTGGAGAACTGTTATTATTATTAGATTTTGTACTGTCCAAAATAGCGTTGTCAGCAGCAAATGAACGTTCAACTTTCTTTAAAAAAATTTTTAATCAAAATTTAGAGGTTTTTATCATCCTAAAAAGTTTTTAGGATGAAAAAATTTTCAAAAAAAACCCTCTTCCCTTACATTTAAAAGTTTTGTAACCAAAGTGCGTGGACCATCCCTTTGTGTAAGTGCATTTTGTGGCAATACTTCACTTCCACTACCAGATGCTTGATTGACTATATCTTGTTTACCTTTAGCATAACGTTCATGTAAATTCTCTGCTTCCTTTAGAAAAAAAATTTTTTGTAGTCTTTAAAAAGAAAAAAAAACCTTGAAAAAAGGACTGTCAATTAATGCACGAAGATGAGGAAAATTATCCATATTCATAAGCTTTCGCTGTTCAAATTCAAAATTGTCCGGATCAAAACGCAAACGAAAATGTCTGTGTAACAAAGGATTGAACTGTTAAAAAGAAGAAGAAAAAAATTTTAATTCGAAAAAATAGGCTTCATTTAAAACATCACCCTTGGGATTTAAATATTAAAAAAAGTTATGCTTTAATTTGGAGGTATCGTTAAAGCAGTTCCATTACCCCGTGGTTAACCAAATTCAAAAAACGTACTTAATTAAATTTTTTGAGTGAAAACATAAAGAAACACTTGATAATTACCCCTTGAACAGAAAAATAAAAATCGTATCTCATAACGAGGTGTCCTTTAAATTGAAGTTTTCCCTAAAGAAATTTTTTACCCAGTGGGCAGTTAGTGCCAGACAAAATTTAAAAACATAACTTAAGTTGAGGTGTCTAGTTTTTAAAATGTATCTTAAAGGCCCCAATGTACAAGATTTCATCTTACCGTTCCATCACAAGGATAAATAGCAAAAGCATTTAAATTTGATAAACGAAATAAACAAAAAAGAGCATCAAATTGTTCATCAGGTAACAAAACAGTTTCCATATATTCATTTAAATCATCCATTTGAGGAACTGTTACGTGAATTGGAACAACAAATTGTGAGGGTTGGACAAAATAAAGACTTGAGAAAAAATATTTTTAGGTCAAAAAATCCTCCAAACAAACCTGTAAGAAATAAAAATTCCAAAAATTCTTTCAGCATCACTTCTCTTCTCTGGTGCAATAAACATTTGTTTCCATTTATTTTCGTTAATTTCTCCTTCAAAATAATTTGGAATTTGTTTATCGGGTAGAGGATTAAACATGTAACTCGAAATGTAGTGAAAGAGATTCTCAGAAAACTAAAAAATTGAAAAAAAATTATTTTCAAAAAAAGATGGTAAAGGTTAGCTTTACTCTTAACTAGAAAAAATGGGGAGGAAGTGCATTTTCTAATTTTGATGAATTTTTCATTCAATTCGCTCAGCTCAAAGAGACGTGGGTAATAGTTCGGTTCGTACCCCCCCCCCCTTTTTTTCCTTCCTAAAAGTATTAAAAATGGTCAGTCAGTATTAGTTTATAGAACTCGTCGAGCTGTGTCGAATGACACCAAAATCAACCCCAGGTCTTAACTTTGGGCCGAGATACAGACCCCCGAAAATTGAAAAATAAAAGGGTGGACCAAGCTCATTTTTTGAGCTAAAAATTTGATTAAACAAATAATAGCTCATTCGAAAGAGACTGTCGAGCTGATTCGAATGACATCAAAATCAACATAATTGAACAAGATTTGACAAAGTTATGACATAAAAGTAATCCTATTGTAGTCGTGAGACGCTTTTGCAAAACCTTCTCTTTGCGAAGGGGTTTTGTCTGTATCTCGGCCCAAAGTTAAGACCTGGGGTTGATTTTGGTGTCATTCGACACAGCTCGACGAGTTCTATAAACTAATACTGACTGACCATTTTTAATACTTTTAGGAAGGAAAAAAGGGGGGGGGGGGTACGAATCGAACTATTACCGAGACGTGTCAGAAAGACCTAAAATTTTAATTTTCCAGCTCGAATTCGACCTGGCCGAATTTGGGTCCGGGGTTCGAAATGAATAACATTTTAAATCATATTCTGACTCCAAACACTCAATTACCCAAAGGCAAACCCCAAAAATATCGAAAAACATTTCTTCCACATTTTTCTATAGGGCAGTAAAATTAAAACTTTAAAAAGACTCAAAATATCCCCCTCCAACAAACCTCAACTAAATCAGAATTAGTAAATCTTCCAAGAAAAATAGTAGCAAAATCCATAGCTTGAAAAAGTTTAGAAAATCTAGCCAAACTCAAATCTGTATTATTTGAACAAAATTGTCTAGCCAAATTATCAACATCAGTTTTCAATGCCGACATTATAGAACGTTCAGCAGCTCGATGAATAGCCGTCTTCTTTCCATATTTCCCTCTCGTCTTCCTTCCAACAACTTTTTGTTCTTCCTCCCCTTCTCCTTCCTCTCCACATTCTTCATCATCTTCATTATTTTCTTCTTCTTCATCTTCCTTTTCTCTTTCAATATCTTCAATTTCTTGAGAATCCATTAAAATGTTAGTTTCATAATTCTCAACAATATCAAAATCATCGTCATAAATATCTTGTTTTATACTTGTTGAAGGAATTTGTGAAGTGGAAGAGGACATTTTGGGAATAAAAATTTAACTAAAAATCTAAAAAATAAATTAAAATTAATTTGAAAAATTTAAAAAATTTTTAAAATAAAAAAACTTGTAAGCAAATTTTAAATTTTCTCTTTCCTTGGCAAAATGTTTAAAAAGAAAAATATAAGTGGAAAAGAAAAAAAAAGAAATTGAAGAAACAGAAGGGTATGACAACAAAAGGAAAAGCATTAAAATAGTAAAATTATAACTTGGTAATACGGGAAAAATAGGACAAAAAGGTAAGAGATAGACAAAGAAGTTAAACAAAAATCTTCAACATACCTTAGAGTACCATTTTGTCGCATACCATTTTTTCGTCCTTTATGTAGTACCATTTAGTCGTTTTTTGCTCGTACCATTTTGTCAGGTCACGGTTTTTATTGAATTTTCGTTTGGATTTTAAAAATTTTTTTCAATTTATTTTAATTTCAAGTCTATTTTAGTATTCTTTAAAATTTAAAAATGTACAACAACGTTGGTTTATCAACAGCTCGTGGTTCTGGCACAAATGCTTATGTTCAATCAAATGTTGCCAATCTTAGCTTTTCACGGGTATTTTTTAGTTATCCTTTTTCTTCAAAATTCTCTTTCTTCTTAGAATAAAATCGTTTACAATGCTGAAGAGGACATTGCTCGTGCCGAAGCAGAAGTAAATAAAGCACCAAACTTGGAGTTGTTGGATCACGAATATAAACGGTTAATTGAAATTAAATGTGTGGAATTTGAAGATTTGATGGAAGGAAAGGTTTGAAGTTTTTAATAAAAACAGGAAAGAGTTTTTTTTGAATTTTTTAGGGTTTTAGTGAAGAAGAAATCAATTCAAAAGTTAGCGAATATCGCAAACTTTTATTTAACGAATTTGAAAGTGGCCGTCTAAATATGGATGCAGAATTGGATTTGCGGAATTCACATTCTCGTGCAAAAGTTGCAAAACAAGGACGAAGCAATATGCGGTGGGCATTGGGTATTGATGCTTCTTTTGTTGATGGGTCTTCAATGGAGAAGTAATAAAATTATTATTAATTGGTTAATGGACACATTCGGTTGGGAGATAGACATATCGGGATTTTTCAATGTCCTAACAGCTACTCTAATGTTTTCAGGACCTACGGCCATTGGGTTTTGGATAGTACATTGTCTTATTGAAGGAAATAGTTTCTGTTTTAAACCCAATGTAAATACTTAAAAAGTTATTTTTGTCACAGCAATCCTTACATGTCCGTCTCGATATTTCTTCTTACCGTTTGGTCAACTTTTATTTTCTGTCGAATAAAAATTTACAAAAAACTTTTTTAGACTTAAAAAAGCAAGTACAACAATCCTCAAAGAAGCAAATATTACTCAAGATAAAGCTGCACTTGAAAAGGAAATGGAAAAATCTATGATGGAAAAACTCTTGGAAAAAATCAAGAAAAAGCGCGAACAGAAGAAGGAAATTAAAAAGATGAAGAGAGCAATGCGTAAAAAGAAAGAAGATGAAAGCGACGATTCGTCTTCATCTGATTCAGATTCTTCAGGTTTTTTCGAATGTTTTTTTTTGTTATTTATTGAATTTCTTGTTTTTAGACTCGTCTTCCACAGATTCTTCCTCCTCGGATGACTCATCAGACAATTCTTCACTATCAGATTCTTCATCAACTTCAATTTCTTCCTCATCCTCATCTGACGAAAAACACAAAAAGAAAAAGGGAGGAAAGAAAAGAAGCGAGAAGAAATTAAAAAAGCCAAAAAGTGAAGATGATGAAGAAGAGCAACAAATTCCGTCTTCAAAGAAGGACGATAAAAGAAGCAAAAACTACAGCAAAATTCAACAAACTGAACTTTTAGTGCCAAAAGAAGAACCACAAGAAGAATCAAATTTTACTGAAAATCGCCGTAAAGATTATAAAAAACGTGGAGAAAGAGGAGAAGAGCATAAAAATCGGCATGAAGACAAAAGTCGGGACAAAAATGTTTCGGTAAAATTTAACAGGATTTAGCAAAACAAAATTTAAATTTTTCAGCGCAGTACAGCAGCTGATTTCTTTGAGGATGAAGATCAAAATAACAATAATAATCTTCCCGCGCAGTATCGACACTCAACAAATGACCGTGAAAGAAATCGAAAAAGTGGAGATGACAAAGAATATAGACGAAAAAGAAGACATGAACATGAGGATGGTGATGATCGTGACGATAATCGAGATCGTTATAGGCGACGTTCACGATCTCCAGAATATAGAAGAGAAAGAAAATATAGACGTGATAGGGGTGAGTAAATTATTAAAAATTATTTTCAAGTTTGTTTCCAAGTTAAAAAACCCCTAAAAATTTGTAAAAGAAAAAATGTACAACATTTTATATATTTTTTGATTGATAAAAAAATTTTTGAATCTGATTTAACAATGTTTGTATAACAATATAGGGTTTTCTAATGCACATTTCCAATATAAGAAGATGAAAATTTGGAAAAGAAAAAAAATTAAAAATAAGTTGGAGAGATTGGACATGGGCGAGACCAAAAGACGAAACTAAAATCTTCCGTGAAACGAATAACACGGAGAAATTAACGAACGTTCATCTGACCAGCACGATTTAAACAAGAAATATAGGCCGGATCCCAAAGTTCCAATCTCTAATAAATAACATGTCCTTTAATAAGAGAAAAATTCTTGCCACCAATGTTTAAAAAATACACGTTAAAAACAAACCCGAAAATCCTAACAACATTATTTTTGTTTTCATACAACTTTAAAATTGAGCATATATTGTTGGTCAATTCCCAAATATGTATCAGAAATTACAAGTAAAAGTAATTGATAAATGCCACTGAATTTTTTAAAATTTTTTTAAATTCAAAAAAATTTTTCTTACGGTTCATTAGGAGTTAAAATTCTCAGTCTTGCAATTTTTTGTTCTTCAATTAAAGAAGGAATTCTTTCGTGTCCCCAAAGACGATTTGTTGTTGCGTCTCCTAAAAGAAGTATCCAACCTGCCGTTCTTTTCTTTGGAAATTTTGGGCAAAAAGCGTTTGAATTTGACTTTAAAAAATTTTTTTCTTATTTTTTTTAAAATTTTTAAGAAACCAAATAAGGTCCACAGAGCCTGAGTGAAACAAAAATTTTATAATTTGTTAACGCAGAAAGCTCCAAATTTTTTTCATTCATTCCCACAGGTAAATGTCCAGTTGGCGGTCTACATGTCCGCAAAGAGAATCTGCTCTTTTCTTTCCTTTTCTTGCATTTTTTGCGTTGGGAGAAGTGCTCCACTCATTTTTCCTTTTCTGCCATTTTTCCTTCTCAATACAGTATGTTTTCCTGTTCATACTTGAAAAATAAAAATACCTCTAATTAGAAAAAAATGATTTATTTTACAAAATACCCGGTTTCCGGGCTACTGGGCCCGGAAAACCCGGTCCCGGTCCGGGTTAGAGCTCTAATAAAAACCATGAGGAGGAGGATGGATGTAAAAACTGGGCCCATGTCTTTACTCAATATCGATATCCTAAAACAAGAAAATCAACGTAGAACAGGTTATGTCTCCTTAAATATTATTTTTAAATTTTTTAGATCATTAATTTGGGCTTATTAGAAAACCATAGATCTAATGTATTATTTGTAAATCTAAATCTATCATTTGTAAAATATTTTTTTTCTAATTAGAGGTATTTTTATTTTTCAAGTATGAACAGGAAAACATACTGTATTGAGAAGGAAAAATGGAAGAGAAGGAAAAATGAGCGGAGCATTTCTCCCAACGCAAAAAATGCAAGAAAAGGAAAGAAAAGAGCAGATTCTCTTTGCGGACATGTAGACCGCCAACTGGACATTTACCATTCCCACATTTATAATTAATTTTTCTTCAAATTTTTGACGTTGCTTTTTTTGTTGAGGGAGAAGATAAATCTGCTCTAAAGAGAGTATTGGCCATTGTAAAAGTGCTTTGAGGAGCTAAAAAAGAATTTTTAATTTAAAATTTTTTTTAAAAAACCTCGTCAGCTTCTTTTTCGCTTAAAATACTTTTAGAACACAATTCTGTTATAATTCGCTTCTCTTCTTTTTTAGTCAATTTCTGTCCATTATTTAATTTATAAATTCCAAGACGTTCTTTAATTTGTGGAATGGAACATAATGGACTTGAAATTAACAAAAAAAACATTTTTTTGATAAAAAAATTTTTTTAGCCAAACCCAATTCCGTCAATTGAATGGGCACTTAAATGAGGTAAACAAAGAAGAGGATGATCTGTATACCAACGTGCTTGAAATATTTGTTGTTGTAAAATTAAAACATTTAATGTTGTATTTAATAAATGCATTTCTACACAAAAATCGAACATTGCCTTTAAAAGAAATTTTTATTTTAGAAAGACCCAAGGACACACTCAGGTTTGAAAGGTTTGCATTCTTTAATAGGTCTAGCTTAAGTAGGGGGATATCGTTTATTCAATCCCCACACCCATTAGCTTCCCTCACTCGTATTGTATCTTAAGGAAGGAGGTATTCTCCAGAGGAGCGTGCTGATATGCAACACTCTAGAGGAGAGTGCTGCTGTCCTAAAGTCCATTGAAATGCCAAACTGGAAATGACCTTTGGGTAGTCCCCTCACTCAATAACCAACCAACTTCAAGAAACATATCTTATAACGAGACCCCATTTATAAAAACTAACAAAAAACCTGTAAAATACGAATACAAGATTCAATAATAGAACGTTGATCAGTAATATAATCTACTGGAAGGTGCATACGCGAAAAGTGTGCTTGATACAATAAATGAGTCTTTACATGTGATGACTCCCAATTGGAAACTTCAAGTTTAATTGGAAGAAATGCTTGAATCTCTCTTTAGAAAAAAATTTTTTTAATCCAAAAATCTTAAAAAAACCTGTTAATTTGGTCCTCATTATGTCTCACAGGAATTTCTTCATATTCTGGACACTCCTAAAAACATTCAAGAAAAAATCATTTTTTCTCAAAATTTTTATAAAAACCGTTAAACAAAGCAAAAGTTGTTCAACACTCATTCCTGGACATATTCTTTCTTTAAAATGTCGAATTGTTCGATGCTCCAAATAATAACGACTTGCAATACGTCCAAAAGGGGTAGAATGGATATAACCATCATTTTCCTTTAAAAAATTTTTTTTGAATTTTTTAAACAAAATTATTAACCAAATCAGGAAGAATGCAATATGAAGCACAAAGTAAATCAACTAAATCAGAATTAGTAAATCTTCCAAGAAAAATAGTAGCAAAATCCATAGCTTGAAAAAGTTTAGAAAATCTAGCCAAACTCAAATCTGTATTATTTGAACAAAATTGTCTAGCCAAATTATCAACATCAGTTTTCAATGCCGACATTATAGAACGTTCAGCAGCTCGATGAATAGCCGTCTTCTTTCCATATTTCCCTCTCGTCTTCCTTCCAACAACTTTTTGTTCTTCCTCCCCTTCTCCTTCCTCTCCACATTCTTCATCATCTTCATTATTTTCTTCTTCTTCATCTTCCTTTTCTCTTTCAATATCTTCAATTTCTTGAGAATCCATTAAAATGTTAGTTTCATAATTCTCAACAATATCAAAATCATCGTCATAAATATCTTGTTTTATACTTGTTGAAGGAATTTGTGAAGTGGAAGAGGACATTTTGGGAATAAAAATTTAACTAAAAATCTAAAAAATAAATTAAAATTAATTTGAAAAATTTAAAAAATTTTTAAAATAAAAAAACTTGTAAGCAAATTTTAAATTTTCTCTTTCCTTGGCAAAATGTTTAAAAAGAAAAATATAAGTGGAAAAGAAAAAAAAAGAAATTGAAGAAACAGAAGGGTATGACAACAAAAGGAAAAGCATTAAAATAGTAAAATTATAACTTGGTAATACGGGAAAAATAGGACAAAAAGGTAAGAGATAGACAAAGAAGTTAAACAAAAATCTTCAACATACCTTAGAGTACCATTTTGTCGCATACCATTTTTTCGTCCTTTATGTAGTACCATTTAGTCGTTTTTTGCTCGTACCATTTTGTCAGGTCACGGTTTTTATTGAATTTTCGTTTGGATTTTAAAAATTTTTTTCAATTTATTTTAATTTCAAGTCTATTTTAGTATTCTTTAAAATTTAAAAATGTACAACAACGTTGGTTTATCAACAGCTCGTGGTTCTGGCACAAATGCTTATGTTCAATCAAATGTTGCCAATCTTAGCTTTTCACGGGTATTTTTTAGTTATCCTTTTTCTTCAAAATTCTCTTTCTTCTTAGAATAAAATCGTTTACAATGCTGAAGAGGACATTGCTCGTGCCGAAGCAGAAGTAAATAAAGCACCAAACTTGGAGTTGTTGGATCACGAATATAAACGGTTAATTGAAATTAAATGTGTGGAATTTGAAGATTTGATGGAAGGAAAGGTTTGAAGTTTTTAATAAAAACAGGAAAGAGTTTTTTTTGAATTTTTTAGGGTTTTAGTGAAGAAGAAATCAATTCAAAAGTTAGCGAATATCGCAAACTTTTATTTAACGAATTTGAAAGTGGCCGTCTAAATATGGATGCAGAATTGGATTTGCGGAATTCACATTCTCGTGCAAAAGTTGCAAAACAAGGACGAAGCAATATGCGGTGGGCATTGGGTATTGATGCTTCTTTTGTTGATGGGTCTTCAATGGAGAAGTAATAAAATTATTATTAATTGGTTAATGGACACATTCGGTTGGGAGATAGACATATCGGGATTTTTCAATGTCCTAACAGCTACTCTAATGTTTTCAGGACCTACGGCCATTGGGTTTTGGATAGTACATTGTCTTATTGAAGGAAATAGTTTCTGTTTTAAACCCAATGTAAATACTTAAAAAGTTATTTTTGTCACAGCAATCCTTACATGTCCGTCTCGATATTTCTTCTTACCGTTTGGTCAACTTTTATTTTCTGTCGAATAAAAATTTACAAAAAACTTTTTTAGACTTAAAAAAGCAAGTACAACAATCCTCAAAGAAGCAAATATTACTCAAGATAAAGCTGCACTTGAAAAGGAAATGGAAAAATCTATGATGGAAAAACTCTTGGAAAAAATCAAGAAAAAGCGCGAACAGAAGAAGGAAATTAAAAAGATGAAGAGAGCAATGCGTAAAAAGAAAGAAGATGAAAGCGACGATTCGTCTTCATCTGATTCAGATTCTTCAGGTTTTTTCGAATGTTTTTTTTTGTTATTTATTGAATTTCTTGTTTTTAGACTCGTCTTCCACAGATTCTTCCTCCTCGGATGACTCATCAGACAATTCTTCACTATCAGATTCTTCATCAACTTCAATTTCTTCCTCATCCTCATCTGACGAAAAACACAAAAAGAAAAAGGGAGGAAAGAAAAGAAGCGAGAAGAAATTAAAAAAGCCAAAAAGTGAAGATGATGAAGAAGAGCAACAAATTCCGTCTTCAAAGAAGGACGATAAAAGAAGCAAAAACTACAGCAAAATTCAACAAACTGAACTTTTAGTGCCAAAAGAAGAACCACAAGAAGAATCAAATTTTACTGAAAATCGCCGTAAAGATTATAAAAAACGTGGAGAAAGAGGAGAAGAGCATAAAAATCGGCATGAAGACAAAAGTCGGGACAAAAATGTTTCGGTAAAATTTAACAGGATTTAGCAAAACAAAATTTAAATTTTTCAGCGCAGTACAGCAGCTGATTTCTTTGAGGATGAAGATCAAAATAACAATAATAATCTTCCCGCGCAGTATCGACACTCAACAAATGACCGTGAAAGAAATCGAAAAAGTGGAGATGACAAAGAATATAGACGAAAAAGAAGACATGAACATGAGGATGGTGATGATCGTGACGATAATCGAGATCGTTATAGGCGACGTTCACGATCTCCAGAATATAGAAGAGAAAGAAAATATAGACGTGATAGGGGTGAGTAAATTATTAAAAATTATTTTCAAGTTTGTTTCCAAGTTAAAAAACCCCTAAAAATTTGTAAAAGAAAAAATGTACAACATTTTATATATTTTTTGATTGATAAAAAAATTTTTGAATCTGATTTAACAATGTTTGTATAACAATATAGGGTTTTCTAATGCACATTTCCAATATAAGAAGATGAAAATTTGGAAAAGAAAAAAAATTAAAAATAAGTTGGAGAGATTGGACATGGGCGAGACCAAAAGACGAAACTAAAATCTTCCGTGAAACGAATAACACGGAGAAATTAACGAACGTTCATCTGACCAGCACGATTTAAACAAGAAATATAGGCCGGATCCCAAAGTTCCAATCTCTAATAAATAACATGTCCTTTAATAAGAGAAAAATTCTTGCCACCAATGTTTAAAAAATACACGTTAAAAACAAACCCGAAAATCCTAACAACATTATTTTTGTTTTCATACAACTTTAAAATTGAGCATATATTGTTGGTCAATTCCCAAATATGTATCAGAAATTACAAGTAAAAGTAATTGATAAATGCCACTGAATTTTTTAAAATTTTTTTAAATTCAAAAAAATTTTTCTTACGGTTCATTAGGAGTTAAAATTCTCAGTCTTGCAATTTTTTGTTCTTCAATTAAAGAAGGAATTCTTTCGTGTCCCCAAAGACGATTTGTTGTTGCGTCTCCTAAAAGAAGTATCCAACCTGCCGTTCTTTTCTTTGGAAATTTTGGGCAAAAAGCGTTTGAATTTGACTTTAAAAAATTTTTTTCTTATTTTTTTTAAAATTTTTAAGAAACCAAATAAGGTCCACAGAGCCTGAGTGAAACAAAAATTTTATAATTTGTTAACGCAGAAAGCTCCAAATTTTTTTCATTCATTCCCACAGGTAAATGTCCAGTTGGCGGTCTACATGTCCGCAAAGAGAATCTGCTCTTTTCTTTCCTTTTCTTGCATTTTTTGCGTTGGGAGAAGTGCTCCACTCATTTTTCCTTTTCTGCCATTTTTCCTTCTCAATACAGTATGTTTTCCTGTTCATACTTGAAAAATAAAAATACCTCTAATTAGAAAAAAATGATTTATTTTACAAAATACCCGGTTTCCGGGCTACTGGGCCCGGAAAACCCGGTCCCGGTCCGGGTTAGAGCTCTAATAAAAACCATGAGGAGGAGGATGGATGTAAAAACTGGGCCCATGTCTTTACTCAATATCGATATCCTAAAACAAGAAAATCAACGTAGAACAGGTTATGTCTCCTTAAATATTATTTTTAAATTTTTTAGATCATTAATTTGGGCTTATTAGAAAACCATAGATCTAATGTATTATTTGTAAATCTAAATCTATCATTTGTAAAATATTTTTTTTCTAATTAGAGGTATTTTTATTTTTCAAGTATGAACAGGAAAACATACTGTATTGAGAAGGAAAAATGGAAGAGAAGGAAAAATGAGCGGAGCATTTCTCCCAACGCAAAAAATGCAAGAAAAGGAAAGAAAAGAGCAGATTCTCTTTGCGGACATGTAGACCGCCAACTGGACATTTACCATTCCCACATTTATAATTAATTTTTCTTCAAATTTTTGACGTTGCTTTTTTTGTTGAGGGAGAAGATAAATCTGCTCTAAAGAGAGTATTGGCCATTGTAAAAGTGCTTTGAGGAGCTAAAAAAGAATTTTTAATTTAAAATTTTTTTTAAAAAACCTCGTCAGCTTCTTTTTCGCTTAAAATACTTTTAGAACACAATTCTGTTATAATTCGCTTCTCTTCTTTTTTAGTCAATTTCTGTCCATTATTTAATTTATAAATTCCAAGACGTTCTTTAATTTGTGGAATGGAACATAATGGACTTGAAATTAACAAAAAAAACATTTTTTTGATAAAAAAATTTTTTTAGCCAAACCCAATTCCGTCAATTGAATGGGCACTTAAATGAGGTAAACAAAGAAGAGGATGATCTGTATACCAACGTGCTTGAAATATTTGTTGTTGTAAAATTAAAACATTTAATGTTGTATTTAATAAATGCATTTCTACACAAAAATCGAACATTGCCTTTAAAAGAAATTTTTATTTTAGAAAGACCCAAGGACACACTCAGGTTTGAAAGGTTTGCATTCTTTAATAGGTCTAGCTTAAGTAGGGGGATATCGTTTATTCAATCCCCACACCCATTAGCTTCCCTCACTCGTATTGTATCTTAAGGAAGGAGGTATTCTCCAGAGGAGCGTGCTGATATGCAACACTCTAGAGGAGAGTGCTGCTGTCCTAAAGTCCATTGAAATGCCAAACTGGAAATGACCTTTGGGTAGTCCCCTCACTCAATAACCAACCAACTTCAAGAAACATATCTTATAACGAGACCCCATTTATAAAAACTAACAAAAAACCTGTAAAATACGAATACAAGATTCAATAATAGAACGTTGATCAGTAATATAATCTACTGGAAGGTGCATACGCGAAAAGTGTGCTTGATACAATAAATGAGTCTTTACATGTGATGACTCCCAATTGGAAACTTCAAGTTTAATTGGAAGAAATGCTTGAATCTCTCTTTAGAAAAAAATTTTTTTAATCCAAAAATCTTAAAAAAACCTGTTAATTTGGTCCTCATTATGTCTCACAGGAATTTCTTCATATTCTGGACACTCCTAAAAACATTCAAGAAAAAATCATTTTTTCTCAAAATTTTTATAAAAACCGTTAAACAAAGCAAAAGTTGTTCAACACTCATTCCTGGACATATTCTTTCTTTAAAATGTCGAATTGTTCGATGCTCCAAATAATAACGACTTGCAATACGTCCAAAAGGGGTAGAATGGATATAACCATCATTTTCCTTTAAAAAATTTTTTTTGAATTTTTTAAACAAAATTATTAACCAAATCAGGAAGAATGCAATATGAAGCACAAAGTTCTACTAAACAAGAATCTACTGTTGTGCTCAAAAATGTTGTTAACTCTTTATTATTTAATTGTTCAATGCCGTAATAGCTTAAAAAAGGTTAACAATAAATAAGTGAACTTTTAAAAGTTTTCTTATGAATTTTAAAAAAAGAATATTTTGTTGGGTCTGGGGTGGGGGTTGAGGACATGAGTCCATAATGGAAAAGAAATCACAAAATTATATTTATTAATATATCTACCAAATAAGCGCCTCTTTTTCCTCAATTTAGTCTTAACTCACGTCTTATACCAGAGCAACCTATCTAGTTTCTCTTTTCAAAAAATAATTCAAAAATAACCAACGCTGGATTAGCAAATAATCGTCTATAAAGATATGTTCCAGCCAAATATTCAACAATCTGTTGACGATTAACTATTGAACCTGAACATATTTCAGCACTTACATGATTAGGTAAAACTGGAAGTAAACTTGAAAAGAAAAAAATTTTAAAGTTATAAAATAAAAAAATTACTTTGATTCAACAGGGAAAGGTTCATATAAAAAACGTTTGTAAAAATTCTTTTTTACATCTTGTACAAAAACAACAGCGACCGCTGATGTGTCGTATTGTGGACGACCTGCACGTCCAATCATTTGAAGAACATCTTTGAAAATCAAAAATATTTTTTTTGAAAATTTAAAAGAAAACCTGTGACTGGAAAGTCAATATATTTATGAGTTTTTCCATCATAATATTCTGTTCCTTTAACAATTACTAAATGAGCTGGAACATTTATTCCCCAAGCGAGTGTAGCTGTAGCGACTTTATGAAAAAATTATTGAATTTAAATACTATCGAATGGGACGAATTACCCAATCCAAGCAAGTTCCAAAACCCGACTAAAGCAAGGACTATTTCCCCTCCTTAAAAGACTAGAGCAGAAACTCAGGATTTTTTCCTAATCCAAGACTCGATCCGAAAAAATTTTGAAAACACGACCCAACTTTCCTCCAAATTTTTTTAAAATTTTTCCATAATACTCACCCAATATTTGAATTTTTCGTTCAACAAAAAGTCTTTCAACAAGAGCTCTTTCAGAATGTTGCAATCCAGCATCTAAAAAAAGCATTTAAAAATGATTAGACTTTCAAAATATTTACGATGCATTCCAATTCCATAATTTAAGGTTAAAGCCAAATTATCATCACGAACATCCTTTAATAATGTTTCCAATTCTAATTGTTCCATTTTTAACCATTGGTGTTGTTTTGAATCTGGTTCGCGTTGTAAAAGTGAAAGTAAAGCCATTGAAGTTAATCTTGTTTGTCTACGGCTAGCAACAAAAATAAGAACAGGTTTTGAAGGAGAAAATTGTTTAATATACTGAAAATTTAATTTAGAAAAAATTTTTTTTTAATTTTATACTTGAAATGCCGGTTTATTCATCAACCCCATGCGAGGACAATAATGTTGACCAGGAAATCCTTGAATGTGTACTTGAATTGGTACAGGACGAACACTTGGTCGAAAATTGAATAATGCAGAGTCTGGAACCCCAATCCAATTTGCCACATCCCCAGCATTTGCTAAAGCTGTAGAAAGACCAATTATTCGAATTGGCAATTTGGCAAGTTCACGTCGTCGAGCAAGCATTTTTATTCTTTAAAAAATTTAGGAGGAATTTAGAATTATTATAAAATTAAATAAATTGCCGAGTCACAATTGCTTCAAGTACTGCACCTCTTTCAACACCCAATAAATGAATTTCATCAATAATTAAAAGTTCGACTTCTTGAACATACCGACGAGTTTCAGCACAACTAAATATTATTAAAAAGTTTTAATAATTAAACAAAAAATCCTAACCGTGTAATACCGTCCCATTTCTCTGGAGTAGTTACCAGAATTGAGGCAAGGTTGAGTTCTTCAACGTCAGGAGTATTATCACCAGAAACTTCAACAATTCTGATTAAAAAAATAAAAAAAATTAAAATAAAATTGTCGTGAACATCTAATAAACAATGGAAAAAGAAACCTATAAAGAACAATGGCAAAGAAGACTAGGCCTCAGTTTGGGGAGAAATAGCCCTCGGAACAGCAAGTCCCTTAATTTTTCATGAAATAAAATCTTACGGAAATCCAAGTTTTTTGTTAAATTTTTGTTCCCAATCCAATACACGTTCACGAACAAGAGCTTTAAGAGGAGCAATATAAACACACTTAAAAATATAAAATTTTTAAATAAAATATTTTTTAAACCTTTTTAAGAGGCCTCAAATTGAAAAGTCTGAAGATTGCCAATTCTGCACACAAAGTTTTTCCAGAAGATGTTGGGGCACCAATTAATGAATTTTCATCAGTTGCATAAAGTGTATGGAAAACTTGTGTTTGTACAGGATTAAAAAATTGAAAAGAATAAAGTTGTTGATATTCAACATTTTTTAATGCGGATAAAGGTAGTGGCTCAAGATCCAATAAATCTATTGAAAAAAATTTTTTAAATAAAAAAAATGTTCTAAACAAAAATTTATACCAGTGTGTGGTTTAATTGATGTAGGCATAACTGTTGTTGCTAAAGTTAAAGGCACAACAGTATCTTCAACAATATAACGATCACTAGCCACTCTTAATAAATATTGATGTTTAACTTGATCCTCATTTACAGGAATTGTAAAAATTAAACGCTGTGGATCGCCACTTAAAGCCTTTAAATAAGAAAAAATTAATTAGTTGATTGTTAGTCGGTTTTACTATAGGATACATTCTTGTAGCTTAAATGTTTCCTAATTAAGGGGTATCTAACAAAGGGTGTACCATTTCGCCTTTTATCTTCCACCGAATTTTCGCCTCATTTTCGTGTTTCGCCTTTCGATTTTAAATCTTAAATTAACTTTCGACTTTTCGCCATGCCTTCATCTTTTGCTATTTAAAATCTGTTTCAACACACCCAAAGAATCTAATTTTGAGGGAATCTTACATTTATGACTCGACTATGTTTTAAAATAAATTTTCAAAAAATATAAACCATCTTTTTAAGAAGAATAAAAATTTCATGATGAAGGATAATATTAGCATCTGCATCTTCTACAATCACCCAAAAACGTTGTGCACCACCTAAACGATCACACCAAGTAAAGCTTGGATATAAAAGTGCTTCTATTTGAATTATTGTACTAAAAATAAAAATATTTTTTATTAAAATAAAATTTCAAACCAAGTTATTGGCCTAATATTAGCTTCAACATCAATAAAAGGAAGCATTCTAATTGCCTCATAAATAACTTTTCCATCACCAGAACATAAATAACCCAAATCTTTAGCATCCATATCATATAAAGAAAATAAATTCATTCTCCGACTTTCAATTTTTTGAACAACATTAAAACTGAGAAGATTGACATCAGCTAAGTGTCTTCAGAAAAAAATATTTTTTTAATTAAATTAAAACCCCTGGTATCTAATCATATCGATTTGGGCGGATTTGTGCAGAAAAATCATATCGACGGATTTGGGGATTAAGTTGGATTTGTTGGGATTAAAAAGGATTAAGTGACAGAAGCCCCAAATAAAAAACCTTAATGGAGAATTAAAAGGCCACAGTCTTTGTTCAATACATTTAGCCATAGTTAAACAAGCTTCTGTTGTTTGTGCCCAACCACGTCTTAAAGCAATTTCGAAAATAGCACGAGCAATTCTTCCAGCATTTTGTGAAATATAATAAAGTTCCGATGAAAGAGCAAAATCTTTGACAAAAGCACGGGAAATATAACTCTTTAAAAATTTTTTTGAAAAATGTTAAAAAACGCCAAAAAAAGGACAAAATAAAAACCTGAAGAAGACAATTAACTTTCCCTGCAGTTGTTGCCAATCCACTACGAATTTTTAAATTTGCTCCAAACGAGGCTAATTCATCTAATTCAGTCATTTCTGAATCACGGTTCTAAAAAACGAAGAGAATTTTTTAATTGAAAAATTTTTTATACTTTTATTTGTGCAAATTCTGAACAAGAAGAAATTAATGCAATAATCATTTCATCTGTCATCATTTCTGTTAAACTTATTGGGCCATTATGATCATTTATTAGTTCAATTGTTTCAAATCCAATATAATAATTCTTTAATAAATAAATTTCAAAAAAAAATTTTTTTTAATTAAAAAACCGATGCAATCCTTCCCAAATCAGTTGCAGAGACAAAATTATTACTAGAAATTAATATTTTTTTAAATTTGAAATGATGCCGTAATGCTAAAACGCCAAAAAGCCATCCCAAATTCCTCGCTGGATTTCCACTGTTTGGCATTCTGGCTGCTCTTGGGGTTGACTTTTCAGCGTTTTCGCATTACAGCGTACGCCGAACAAATTTTATTTTTTTTTTATAAATTTACATTGGATCATAACGTATCATCCTATTACCATCCAAACGTCTCGCAGCACTATGACAAAAATCAGATAAATAAGCATTTAATTGTGAATCTCTTCTCAATTCTTTCCAATCAACTCCATACTTAAAAATAAATTTAATAAAACCCAGAAAATATTTTTAAAAAACCTGTAACGGATTTTTGCGTAAACGAATATAAAAATAAGTAAAATGAATCCATTCAATTGCTTCAGAAATATTTGAAATTGCACCAGAGGCAATTTCAGCATTTAAATTGTTTAAAATTCGAGACTGAAATTGTGATTCTATTGGTGTTTGTCGATGAAACATTTCAATATAATGGGCCAATTTTTGAACATTTGTAATAATAACACCATGACCTAATAAAATATTTTTAAGAACTCTGAAAGACCAAAATCCTCCTAAAATTTGTTTTCGAAGTTCGGGGTGATAGTAAACGATGGTCTCATTGTCAGCCCTGAAATTACTCTGAAAATCAAATTTCTGAAAAATTGAAGCCCAAATTTCCGTACATCGGCACAGTCGGTTGTGCTCTAGGTTGAATCATTCTTCTAGAATTGCTCTATACCAACTCTCGTCCAGTAAATTTTTCCTAAGAGCTTTGTGAAGAGTTCAAATTTCAATTCTCCCAATATTAAATCAAAAACTATTATTGTTTTACCCATATCCTCATATTGTGGTCGTCCCGCTCTTCCAAAAATTTGTTGTACATCCAAAATACCAATATCAGTAAAAATACCCTTTTGCGGGTCAAATATTTCTGTTCCCTTGAAAAAAACAAAATTTAAATGTTAAACTCAATAATCTCTTACACGTATAATCACTGCATAAGCAGGTAAATTAACTCCCCAAGCGAGCTTTAAATAAAAAAATTAAATTTATTTAAAAAATATCATTGAATTAAAACCGTTGCTGTACACATCATTACACGAATTGCACCTTCTGTAAACATTTTTTCCATTAAATGGCGATCGTGATGTGCTGAAAAAAATTATAATTTTTAATTAGTTCCGTCAAGATAGATTTTTCCGGATTTGCAACTATAGCCGGACCTGATCCGGCCAACCACTTCTTGATTAATCTGGTTCGGAAAAATCTGGAGATAGTGATTTGGGACCCGGCTTCAGAAAAATCTGGATGGGTCCGGCGCCAGTCACTAATAATAAATTAATAAAATTTACTTAATCCCGCATGGTGAATACCAAGACCCGATTGAAAAAGAAATTGTAACTCTCTACTTTGAGCATTGTTCATCTATTAAAATATAAAAATAAGATTTAAGAAAATTTTTACCGCTTTTTTAGCTTTCAGATAAGAACTAGTAACTTCACCTCCTTTCTCAACAAGAAATAATTCTCTTTGATTCTAGAAAAAAATTTTCTTCAAATAAAATTTAAAAAATAAACAAACAGAATTAGCAGCTTTATCAATAAATGTTCTAGCCAATTGTCCAGTAGCATTTCTTGAATGAACAAAAATTAGAACTTGATGTTTATCATGAAGGAATTTGACACATTTTTGATAACAAACTTCATCCATCATTTCTTTTTGAGTCATCAATTTATTTTGAGAAATTTTTGTTGGTGGCTTTTCTCCTTTACGAATAGCTTTTTCCCTTTCCCGTTGTAAAACAATGGCTTGGCGTTCAGAATCCCGAACACCTAGAAAACTGAACAAACAAAAAATTATTTTCTCTAAAAATCAAAAAAATATACGTTTGAGCAAGTGGAACAGGACGAAAACGTCCATCAAAATGAAAAAGTCCTTGAGTTGGATCAACACGTAAAAATGTTGCTACATCATTATAATTTGGTAAAGTTGCAGAAAGTCCGACAATTCGAATATTTTGATGATAAACTTCAATCTTAATAAAAATATTTCGCTTCAACTCTAAAAATTTTTTTTACTCTTCTTAGTGTTCTTGCAATAATTGCCTCAATTACAGGTCCACGATCGTCATGTAACAAATGAACTTCGTCAATAATTAAAAGACGAACTAATTGGCTAAGTTCTTCATCATCACTTTTGCGTGTAATAACATCCCATTTTTCTGGTGTTAAAACTAATACCTAAAAAAATTGTTTACTAGAGAGAGAGACTAAATCATTTTTCCAAGACCGGAAACCAGACAGGACGCGGCTGGATTTCTCAAAATTTCCGGTCCGGCGCCGCTCACTCAGTAGTATTTACGATTAGTTATAAATATTTTTAAAATTTTTACAAACTTGTGTTTCCTGAATTTCTTTTCTACTTAATTGGGAATCTCCAGTTAATTCACGTGTTTTCAATCCAAGGCGACCCAACCGTTTAGAAAAATTACTGGTCATTTCTGTTGCTAATGCTTTCATTGGTGCCAAATAAATTACCTTAAACAAAAAATTTTAAAAAATTTTTTTAATTAAAAATACCTTAAAAGCATTTTTAATTATCTTTCCACTTTTTGTTCGATTATCACGAATTGTTCTCAAAATTGTCAATAATGCAATATTTGTTTTCCCAGCGCCTGTTGGAGCACAAATCAATAAATTATTCAAAGTATTATAAGCCTGATCAAAAACTTGGGATTGGATGACATTTAAAGATTTAATTCCATCAAAAGCTGTTTGGGCGAACTATAAATTTAAAAAATTTTAAGTTTTTAATCCAAAATTTAAAAAAACCTCATCAAGTTCATCAATTTTTAAACGAGGGAAATTGGCCAAAAATTTTTTGTTATTATCTATTGGGGGAGGAATATGTATTTCTTCACATAAAGTCGAACTTTTTGAAGTACTTCCTTCGGGTAAAGCCATTTTACATCCATGGACAGGCAAATTGACAAATTTTGTTTGACATTCAAAATAATTATTTTGTTTTGAATTTTGTTGTTGTTCATTAAGAAATTGTGACAAAATTGCCTCTTCTTCTTCCTCCTCTTTTTCGTCAATTTCAAAAAATTTATTTTCCCATTTGATCATTTCAGGTTTGTAAAAAAATCTTTTAAAAAAATTATTATTAAAAAGATAGTAAAAATAAAATTAACCTCAATTGAGAATTTGTAGATAAAGAATTTGAAGAAGTTGAAGGTCCAGCATCATCTTGGTATGACTAAAAATATTTAAAATTAAATTTTAATAAAAAAAAATTTGTAAAATAATAAATTTTATGAATTCTATAAATTGCGTCTCAATACAATACCAAACTGCTGGTAAACAATCACGCGGAAGGTTAACGATGATCCACATTTTAACACTTCGGCGTCTTTAGGAAGTTTGGTATTTACGGCCTCATACCATTTATTAAGCTAATAAAAATTTTACCCTGACACTAGATGGAAGAGCAAAAAGAGTTTCGTGAATGTTGTCAGCTGATTTTTTGACATTCTTCTTATAATTAGATAAGGCATCCATTTATTTTTAACTTTGAAACTAGAAATATAAGTAGTCTAAATTCTTGTTCAATTGTCTGACAAAATAATTGAAAACTAATTATTTAAAAAAGTAACTTTGTAAAACTATTCAAACTATACATAAAACGAATTAAAACATTTAAAAAATAACATTTTTATCCATTAATATAATCTAATTATACAAACCTCAAATTTGGTAGAATAAAATATCAGAGCTTACATTTATTAATTAATAATAATTTTAAAAGAATAGAAAAATAGAATAGCAAAGGAAAGAGTCCCAAAAAAGAGTTTACCAAAAAATATAGATTACAATCAAAAAACTCAAAAAAAATCCCAAAAATAATTTTCCCAGAAAAACCGAATAAACTGTCCAAAATTTAAAAATTTCCAAAAACCTTAATTTAAACAAAAGTAATATTTGTAATGAAAATATTTTTGATTTCAGCATTATTGTCATCTTCAGGTTCTACCAATTGATATTCAACATTTTCAGAACATTTCTTAGCAACATAATTTCCGCAAACAAGTTTAAATGAACTTCGATTTAGAAACCGTCCAAGGATTTGTATGCCGTGGTGGCCAAAAGAAGTTATGCCGCGACCAAGGTCATTACAATAATGAATTTTTCCTTCAACACAATATTCTTCAATAGGGAAATCACCACCAATACTGGGAACGATGATTTCGAAACGTGGAGCAAGATTAGGATTCTTTAAAAATAATTTAAAAAATTAAATTTAATTTTGAGATACGATTTCTGAACAGAGCAGCTCAGTTTTTCGAAGAAATCCTTCGGAAAAATTTCTCCCTTACATAAACCCGGAATACATAAAATATCCAGCATTTCCCCAAAAATATTCCAAAAACTTATTTTAAAAAAGTCAAGACAATCAATCAATTTAATTGTATTAATTTTAAAATTTTCTAACCTTTATTATTTCCTCTTTAAGTGTACTCAACAACATCTTAACATTTCCAACAAAGTCTGACGGCTCCTTCTGGTCATTAAAAAATCCATCAATAACAAGTTTACGTTTCGATGTAAGGTTTAAAAGCCAATTAGCCAAAGCAATATTATCAAATCCTTGAAAAGCACTTCGAATTCGTAAACTTGAACAGCGAGCAACGAATGGACACGAAAAAAATTGATTAGAAAGGAATGCATCTTTGCACTCGACAGAAATGTGTAAACATCTGTAAAAGAAAAATCAAACTTAAACTGGTTTAGGACATCGCCACATGGGAAGTTCCCAGAGTTTATACAATTTTCAGGAATTTTTTAGTCAGCAATTTTCTGAAAGAACATGGGACGCATAACTCATCTTAAGAGCATGTCCTAAACCAGAGCTTATTTCTCAAAAAAAACCTTGTCGGCAATTTCAAAAATAAAGCATCCAACGAAATCCAAGCAGAATTTAAATATTTATTAAATTTTCCAAAAGAACTAATTTCCAATGTATAAGCATCAATCGATGGACGAATACGTTCAAGAAATTTGAGAAACTCCGTGATTTGCCCGTCATTTCTGATATCATCAAATTTAACATTTGCAGGAGGAAGTCCTTTTGGAATAGGACGCTTAAATTTTTTTTGACTATTTTAAATATGTATTAAAAATCCTACCGGAGTTTTAAAAGTACGAAATTGATTAGCCTCCACTTTAAGCAGCGGTGCATTCGAAATAATGCAATTTGTAACATGTGTTCCATCCTAGAAGTATCTCTAAATTAATTTTCAAAAAATTTAGAAAACCTTTATAGTCAGCGATACTTCTCGAGGATAAAGTTGATCAATCAGTTTATCAGAAAGTTGCGAAAACAAATAATTTGTTGGGCGAATATTATAACATAAATTTTTGTAAGAGACAAATTTAAAGATATCTTCAATCGTCTCATTTGGTAATAAAGTAATCAAAGGTTGCATTGTTTTTCTAAAAAATATAGAAAAATATAAGGAGCCAAATCCCTTCTTCCTCCCCAATTTCCCTTTTTGTCTTTTGCCAACAAACAGTCAAAAGGATTAATTTTTAATTTAGGAAGGGAGAAACAAAAAAGTCTGTCTGACCATTTTACATTTGAGAAAAACTAGGAGTGGAAAAAAAGTGGCTCGCCAACAAAGCACTCCTTTAAATTTGGCGAAAAAAAAAATAAAAAGTGAAGAGGCTTACTTTGTCGAAGACGCTTTGCCGCACATTTTCACTAATACCATTTTGGAGAAGCAGAAAAAAAAGAAACAAGTTGTATTTCAGTATTTAATTGAATGTTGCTTTAAAATTAATAATTATGATCAGAAAGCTGTAAGATAAATATTGAAATATTTTAATCATTCACCATAACGAAAAATTTTTTTGAAAATTTTATTACCCCATACAAAACAATATTGAAATAAGGAAAACAATAACTACAAAAAATCACACATAGTTAACAATAATATACAATAATAGACATCCTAACAATTTAATCTAATAATGTTATATAATATTCTCTATTGGATATTTACTAGTTTAGAGAGCCATAGTCGTCTCCGTAACAGTGACATTCAAGATACCAAAATCAAAAACCAAAGGCGCAAAAGTCTGAGCAAATACTTGGCATAGAATGAATGAACCAATTTTCAGAACCAATCCACCCAAAATCTTTAAAAAAATTTTTTTAATTTAAATTTTTCAAAAAAATTCAACAAACCATATCAGAAACATGCAATATTTTTGCAGAGAAGACAACAGCGTTTGGTGGAGTGCCCGAAGGAAACATAAATGAGAAGGACGATGCAAAAGTAACCTAAGAAAATATTATTTTTATTTAAAAAATATTTAAAATTATACCGGCAATACATAGGTAAGTGGATTAATATCTTGAGCAATCGCAATAGAAGCAACCACAGGGCTAAAAAAATAAAATATTTTTTATGAAAATTTAAAAATAATTTTGATACATAAAGACGGCTGCTGTAGCTGTATTGCTAGCGAATTCTGAAAAAAACAAAATTATAAAAGATGAAAGGCGAAAAAATCAGAGATGTGTCGGTCACCTTCGCCAATTTTGGACCCCACTCGAAAATGCGAAGCGAAAGACATCCCCCAAAAAAAGTCGAAAATTCGGCAGAAGTGACCAGCACATAACTACTACTTATAATTCATACCAGTCAACAGGCAAACAATTCCACTCGAAAATGCTATGAAGGCCCATGGAGGCATCCATTGCATTGCTGACAGTTTGATAGCAATCCTTAAAAATATTTGAAACTTATTGTTAGAAAAAATAAAATTTAAAAAGAAACCAATCAGAAAGACCACTTTTCTTTACTCCATTAGCCATAGCAAATCCACCTCCCAACAGAAAGAGAGTTGACCAAGAAAATTTTTCCCTCATTAACTTCCAAGTTATTATAGTACGAATAGGCTCATCTTTGTTTTCTAAAAGTTTGTCCACGGTTGCCGATGAAAATGGATTTTCTGCAGGCAAAACAAAAAGCAACATGGAAATTAGCATTGATGCCGTTCCATCAGTCACATAACTTTAAAGGAAAAAGTTTAAAAAATTTCAAAAAAATTTTTCATACCTTGCAGTGAACAGTTTAGTCCAAGCAGGGCGAGATAACCACTAAAAAATAAAAAAATTTAACCAAAAAAAATCTTCAAACCAAAGCAATTAGCGACAGAAAGGAAATTAACACAACCAATTCTTCATATCGCATAGGCCCCTTTAAAACGAAGCGATAAATTTTTAAAAAAAATTTTCAAAAGCATACCAATTCCTTATATTTTTTAACAATCATATCATTAACAACTTGATTGTTTTTCTTGTTGTTATTGCTGAAATATAAAAAATTTTTTATTGAAAATATTTTGAATATTACCAGAATCCAATAAACAAAAATTGAAGCCAAATCCAACAAATTAATAGGAGAATAATAAGCTAAAATTTATAAAAAAATATTTATTATTTAGATGTTTGGTAAGAAAAATTCCGTCATACTCCGATTCGGAAAATGGCCTAGTCCCCTTGTTTTTTCGATTTTAAGGGAATAGTATCTCGGTCCATAGTTGCTCCGCCGAATCATTCTACTCAAGGCATTTCAACTCATCTTGGCGAGCTATTTTTCGTCTGTATGAATCGTAGTATGGGTGATATGAAGGAATTTTAATGTTTCGGGCTTATGTCCAATTTTCTCCATTGTCTCAAAATTACCTGTGGAATAGAATAACACATATAAGAAAAGAAAGCCACAGGATTTTTATCACCATAAAGACTAAAAAATAAACAAAATTTTAAAAATTAATTTCAAATAAAAACCTCTGGAAATGGCTATTCATGGAAATAATCGAACTAGTACCAATCAGGGTGCCTTTAAATTGTTAAGATTTAAAAAGAACTTTAAATCATTAAAATTTACCAGCGCCACCAATTGCAGAAGCATAAGCAATCGAAAGTAAAAGACCTTTGTAGATACGCCGCTGTTGCTTATTATCCGAAAGAACCAACATCTGAGAGACTGTATCAGCAGAATCTCTTGAAGAATTTAATGATTCAGTCCTTTGAAAAATAAAAATAATTTTTAAAAAATTGGCAAAACAAACTCTAAACGTTCACACATATCCAGTTCCTTAATAAGCGCAAGCACCAAGGGCAGCTTCAATAAAGAAATAATTAAATCGAACAAATCAACAAAAAACAAACCATCATGCTGAAATTGAGAAAATTAATTTTAACAAAATTCAAAAAAATTACGTAGTAGTTGAAGTATTTGACATCCACAAAGAAATAAAAGCTGTTGCAACTTGCAATCCAAGCATTAAAAAGCGAGGATTAGCACCGGTAAAACACAGTGTTCGAAGAGCAACACGCTCGTGTAAACGAGAAGATTCTACCGCAACAGCCATAACCTAAAAAAAAATTTTAAAAATTAAAAAACAAAAAAGTCACCATAGAACCAAAGAACATCATATTAGAATCATTCAGATATGCCGAAGAGACGGCCTCTGCCGGTTCAATATCTAGCAGTGGATAGGCAATAGTCGGGATTAATGCAGTCACAGGCAGAGGAAGTGTTTCGGTTACCCAGAAAAATCCTTAAAAATGAATGTATTAGAGAAAAGGTAAATTGTGTTTGAGTGCCCAGACTTCGATACAGTTCACATAGCATTTCGTCGGGCTGAATCAATGACCCCAAAATAAATCATAGTCACAAACACGGGCCCTTGAGACTTGAAAACCCATAAGTGGCACTATGCTGAGGGAGGACCAAACTGATTTTATAAAGAGTATATCGGCGTCTGGGCCCTCAAACACAATTTTTCTGAAAATAATTGCTGCTAGATTACCCATAACGAAGATGACATAAGCACAAGAAGCTGGCTAAAAAATGAAAAAATTACCACTCATCTATAAATATCCATTTACTCACCGGCGTTCCAATAATCAACGGAATTGGACTGAATACAATCGGAAGCAGAAAAAACATGAAGAAACGTCTCAGCGATCTCAGACGAACCATTTCTTTGATTTTGGGCGTTAACGTGTCCATGTTCTGAATTTGACTAAATTCCGAAGAGGGATCCGGCTCCTTTCTAGACATTACAATATTTATATTATTAGATTTAGACCCTAAAAACTAATCTGATTTGAAAATAAAGACAATAATAAAAAAATCAGTGAAAAAAAAACAAATAAAAATTAACAGCGAAAATTTTAAAAACTTAGTTAGTTGCCCTTTTATAGTAACTTTTGCACTTTGGGAATATTGAGTCCCTAAGCCATATCAAAACTTTTTGGTTTCAGTGATTTCGAATAAACCTTATATCATTCGAAATCCCTCAATATGAGGATTATTTTAGCCAACATAATTGATTTGATCAGATAATCCCACAGAAAGTTACATCTCAACTTCACGTTCCACTGTACTCAGTTAATTCCATAAATATCATAATGCCAAACAATCTTTATATTATTTTTAATTTGAAAATTATCAGCAAATCCTCTTTATTATCTCGCTTATCTCTCCAATCTTATTCTATGTTTACTAACTAACATTTTTAAACATTTAAACTCTTAATAGATCCAAAAACAGTTAAAATGGCGCCGGTCCAACTTTGAACACATTACGTATTTAGCGTCAGTTATTTTTATTTTTCTTATCATTTTTGAATGTTTCCTCTATCAAATTTTATGTTTCCCAAAAAATGTCTATCATGTGTGGTACACTGATAAAATTATTTAATTAATTTCCAGAATAAATTAATTTTTCTTGACATACATTATTGACTTAAATTTAGAATAATATTTTTATTATCTCTCTTCCCCTTTAAACAAAAAAAAGATAAATATTTTGCTGAAACATCATTTTCTCACGATCAGTACATTTTTATGTTTGCAGCATATTCCTACGAATTATTAAGAAAGGTTTGCCAAAAAGGAATGCATTTTTTATCAGCAAAATTAATTTTATTTCTGTACCTGAAATGTTTCTAATTAACATATTAGTGTGTGTATTTCCTTTAATAAATAATTTATTTTTACTTTTTCCTGTACCAAAAAATTATTTTTATAAAAAATAATGATATTAAATTAAAAAAAACATGACTGAGATTCTTGATTTTGGTCGAGGATCTTGACCAGGTTCATAACTAAGGTTGCCGTTTTCGAGTCGGGCCGGTACGAGACTTAAGGCCTGACTTTATCGCCGTATGAGTCTTTTTCGGCCATCTATCTTAGGCCCGACTCGATCTTTCGGTCCGAGTCGGGCCATTTTGGCAACCATATTATAACCTTCAGTCAAGTAAAAATCAAGGAACTCTAATAAATCCTTAATCTTGACTCTGGATCCAGAAAAATCCATGTCTGGTTTTTCCTGGGGCCGATCTCAAATAAAAAATTATTTAATAACTTTACAGGATTCTACTAATCAACTAGATCAATCTAAAATGTCCAAAATTGATCAATCACCTATAGAAATTAATTTACCAACTTCTAAAATGTTGTCAACTAAAATAAAAATCTTTATTCGTTTGCGATCTCTTAGATATTTTTTTACTTTTCTGCTAGTTCCTATTGTTTTGGCACCAATTCCATTGATTATTGGCACCCCAGTATTTTTTTAAAATTAAATTATATTTTTAATTTAAAATTTTTTAGCCAGCTTCTTGTGCTTATGTAATTCTTGTAATGGGTAAAATAAAATTTTTTAAATTTAAAAAATAATTTTAAAGCTTTCTTTTGGTTAACCGAAACAATTCCGTTGCCTGTAACTTCTTTAATTCCAATATTTGCTTATCCATTACTTTCTGTTGAATCGGCGGAACAAGTTTCTTCAGTTTATCTAAGCGATTCAAATATGATTTTCTTTGGGTCTATGGTGAGGTTTTCTTTCTTTTTTAGACTTGAATTGAACTTCTACCTTCCTAAAAATAAAAAAAATGTTTTCCAAAAATTCCCTTTTTAGGTTATGGCTGTTGCGGTAGAATCTTCTCGTTTACACGAGCGTGTTGCTCTGCGGACACTGTGTTTTACCGGTGCTAATCCTCGCTTTTTAATGCTTGGATTGCAAGTTGCAACAGCTTTTATTTCTTTGTGGATGTCAAATACTTCAACTACTACGTAATTTTTTTGAATTTTGTTAAAATTAATTTTCTCAATTTCAGCATGATGGTTTGTTTTTTGTTGGTTTAGTCGATTTACTTATTTCTTTATTGAAGCTGCCCTTGGTGCTTGCGCTTATTAAAGAACTGGATATGTGTGAACGTTTAGAGTTTATTTTTCTAATTTTTTTAAAAATTATTTCGTTCTTTTAAAAAAGGAATAATCCAATTCCTCATGTTGCATCAAAGGATTCAATAGAAAATGTTTCTCAAGTTTTGGTCCTTTCCGATTCCAAACAACAACAACATATTTATAAAGGTCTTTTACTTTCAATTGCTTATGCTTCTGCTATTGGTGGAATCGGTAAAAGATTTTTTAAAATTTTCCTCTATGCTCAAAACTTAATTTTCCCTGTGAGAGGAACAAGAGCTTTTAAGCCGAAACAAGGAAAAATTATCCGTTGTGTCCTTCCGACCACTTTTAATTAAGCATAGAGGAAAAGAACCAAAAGTATTTTTTTATTTTTAATTAATTTATGTTTAAAGGTACTTTAATTGGCACAGGATCAAATATTGCCATGAATAACCATTTTCAAAGGTAAATAAGATTTGTAAAATAAATTTTAATTAAATTTTATTTTTCAAGTATTTATGGAGATAAGAATCCAGTATCATTCTTTTCATTTATTTGTTATGCTTTACCTCAGGTTTTTTTTTAAATTTAAAAAAATTTTTATTTTTTTTTCTTCCAGGTGATTATTCTTTTGATAATTTGTTGGATTTGGCTGCAATTTTTATTTATTGGATTTAGGTAATTAAAAAATTTTTTAATCGAGAAAATATTTTTTTAGAAAAAATAACAAGAAAAATCAAATTGTGGATGATATGCTCTTAAATAAATATAAACAACTTGTAAGTTGAAATTGAATTACGATCAAACTTCTCTAGTCATTTAAATTAATTAATTTAAGGGACCAATACGTTATGAAGAGATTACTGTTGTATTGTCATTCTTGGCTTTAATAATTCTTGTTAGATTTTTTGATGATTAATTTTCTTATTTTTTAATTAAGTGGATGACACGCCCAATTTGGCACAAAATGTTTAGGCCAAAGTTTCATTTTTGGGAAATTTCAAAAAAATTTTATTTTTAAAGTTATGTCACAGACGGAACTTCAGCAATGCTAATTTCCATGTTGCTTTTTGTTTTGCCTGCAGAAAATCCGTTTTCATCAAAAATTGTTGAGCGACTAGTCGCGAACAAAAAAGATGAACCTATTCGTACAGTAATGACTTGGAAATTAATGAGGGAAAAATTTTCATGGTCAACCCTCTTTCTGCTGGGAGGAGGATTTGCTATGGCTGATGGAGTAAAGAAAAGTGGTCTTTCTGAATTGTAAGGTTTTTTTATAAAGACAATTTAAAAAATATTATAATTTAGGCTTTGTTCGCAACTTTCTGGAATGCAATGGTTGCCTCCTTGGACATTTATAGCCTTTTCTAGTGCTATAGTTTGCCTGTTAACTGGTATGAGAATTTTATGATTTTATAAGCCCCAAATCCTTCAGAACCCCTCACAAAATTTTATAGACCTGAAAATAAGTTTAAAAATATTTTCTGGGAAAAACAGACAAAATTCAGTTCATTTTTTATTTTTTAGAATTCACCAGTAATATTGCTACAGCATCTATTTTTATGTAAGAACATCTTCAATTAACATATTTCTTAATAATTTGCCACTTTTTTAGTCCTATGGTTGCCTCAATTGCGATTGCCCAAAATATGAATCCACTTATCTATGTCTTGCCAGTATTTTTTTTAAATATTTTTTAATTGAAAATAATTTTTTATTAGGTTACCTTTGCTTCATCTTTTACTTTTATGTTTCCCGCTGGCACCCCACCAAACGCGATTGTCTTCTCCGCGAAAATATTGCATGTTTCTGATATGGTTTGAAATTTTTTTTGAAAAATTAAAATTATAAAATTAAAAAAGATTTTGGGTGGATTGGTTCTAAAGATCAGTTCATTCATTCTATGCCAAGTATTTGCCCAAACATACGCCTATCTAATTTTTGATATGGAAGGCTTTAATGTCTCGATTCCACTAACACCAAATGCTCCATAAAAGATGTTAATTAATTAATACTACATATTTAAAATAATTTGGCATTTGGAAGAAGATTGAGAAAGTGCCCGTTTCCGAAGCACTGGGATGTCATGGGTTATCCGAAATCCGTATTTCGACCCGAAACCTGACTTGAATAAATTTTCTAAAACTTGACCCGACGTTTTTCTCAACCCGTAATGACATCCGTTTTGCAGGCTATTTTTAAGAGAAAAATTTTTCGTCGAAGCGGGCAACTCTCGGTCTTTAATAGTGCCAAGTATTTAATGCTTACACTTTTTTTATTGTTTATACACGATTTTTTTGTCATTCACCTCATTTTTATTATTTCTAAAAATTTAAATCGGAAAATTGTACAAATAAAAAAAGGATTTGAAAATAAATTTTTTGTCTGGACATTTTGGTTCTTTTATTTGTTGTCTATTGACCAATTCTATCAGTTAATATTTTGAAAAGCTAAACTTTTTTTGAAAAACAGCTGGTTTTTTTTATTTTTTACGTGTAAATTTTTAATTATTCACTTATACTTTTATTCATTTTTTAAACCCTTTTTAGGCGAAATTTTGAACTAAAATTCGAGAAATGCTACAAAAACTTCAAAGTTGGTTAGTAAGGCAAAGAGACCAGTCAGCTGTGTCTTATAGTCGCTTTGGTCGTCCAGGTTTGCTTTTAAACATAGAAAACCCGTTTGAACATAAATTAGGATTTTGGTTTTATCGTAAAGAATAAGTTTTTTTTTGTTTGTGATATTTTGGTTATTTTGCATTAATTAGAAATGAGAATTCTTTGATAGGGCGTTGGATGACTCATTCGACTGGATTCAATTTTAGTACCCTTAAGTAATTTTTAAAATTTTATTTTAACAATCCAAGCCTTGTCCATAAACTTGGACAATTATGGGTAAGCCATATTTGATGTCTAAACTTGATTTCTTAGTTCAGGAAAAATCCACACCTTGGTCTATTTTTTCAAAATAATTTATTTTTAGGTGATGAGGAGGAAGATAAACCACCACCTACAACAATTGTCGTTGCCCCGTTTAATGAAAATGCTCCAGAATTTTTTCTTTTTGGTTCTTGTCATGTTCAAAAGGCTGCAATCGTTTCTAATTTTTTCTAATTTATCTAATTTATTTTTAAAGTATTTTGCTGCTTTTGGAATGTCAATAACAATTTTGATGTTTATTAGTACATTCTTCGAATTTGATTGGTATCATCACAAAAGAGGTGTTGATGTTGGCGCTGTTATAGGTCTTTTTCTGTATTTGGCTATTGGAGTGCTTATTCATTATTATGTGATTATTGGGGTTAAAAAACAACTATCGCGTTATTTGCTTCCGTTTATTTGTGTTTATACAATTATATGTGTGACTGAAACTTGTATGTGTATTGGACTTTTGTAGGTTTTTTTAAAATTATTTTATTTTGGAGGGAGTCTCTTTGGGAGTTTCTTTCGCGTTTTGTGTCTCATTGTCAGGCAATTCTACGCACTTTTTTGGATTTTCTGAAATTCCATCATTTCAGGACGTTCTTACATTTTTCATAGGAGCCCGCTGAAATTCCAAACCTTCAACAACTGCCAAAATGCCAAACGTTTGAAAAAAAACAGACATAGTTATTTTCCAATTACATGGAAGGTTTAACCCACATTTTGGCATTTCGGCGTCTTAAGGGGAGTTTGATATTTCGGCGTTTGATATTCCATTATCGCCTCCATTTGTTTCTTCCCTGACAGGTTTAAATTATTGGATGCACAAGTTACTGAACCCCATCATCGTGTACACATTCAAATGGATGTTTATTATCATTCTACTACAACAACAACACCTCCATATGCAGCTATTTTGTTTGGGCTATTTATTGTTCTTGCCGTTCAATTTTTAATGTTGGTTGGTGTTTTGCGTTGTCGACAATTTCTTTCAGCAAAACAGGAACATGAAATGGCTATGAAAGTTGCTGAAATGAGTGTTTGTTTTTTTTAATTTGGGGGTTTTTTGATCATTTTTTTGTAAATGCTTCACTGGGGGGTCCTCCCCCTTCCCTGGAGTCCACAAGATTTTTTCTAAAATTAATTTCCCAATTTTTTAAGAAAACTCAATATCCAACCATTCAAGTTGTTTTTGCTTCTTCTGGCAGCGGTACTGGACCTTTTAGAAATCCAGCACCCCAAAATGGCATTATTCTAAATCCTCCTCCGATATTTAATCTATCTTCTACTACTGCTAATAATTATTCTTCTCCAATTCCACAAACGCCTTTTCACAATAAAAATGATGATGACTCATCGAATTCTTCCCCTACAACAGCTTCAAATACATCTCCAATTCCTCCAACGCCTTCGCATAATAATTCAAATAAACAATCAAATGAGCCGCCAATGGAGAATATTATTATTTGAAAAATTTTTTGAGATGAGAAAAAAGAGGAGGTTCTGAAGTGAATTTCTAAAACAAAAATTTTTCTTCTTTAACATTAAATTCAAATTTTTATTTTTAACAGGTCTATTTACTTACACAATTTTTTTTTATTTTATAGCTTTTTTTATTTATTAAATGGCCTGTATTTTAATAATATGGTCTGACCTCACTAGATACTCCCTTTATTAGATACACCCTCAATTCAAAATACGTTTTGGTTGGTCATTGAGATATACCCCTATGCTAGGAATATTCCGAAACACATTTTAAAAGTTAAAGATGAAAGTCCATTTAAAAAGCACCTGGTAGTTTTTCTCCACCAATCTGGTGAAAGTCGAAAAGGCGAAACGCACACCTCTGGCCGATTCTCTTCTGTTTAAGATAAACTTCATTTTATAGGATGCAATTTTTTCAACCCCAAGGAAGTACCTAAAAGTGAGGTCCGACTATTTAAAATAAATGCATAACATGAATCAGTTGTTGTTACAACCAAATATTTTTTTAATTTAACAAAATTACTGCAATTCTTTGCTAAATTTTTTTTCCTAAAATAAATATAAAATGTTTCTTTTTTAAAGTTTTTAAAATTTGATTAATATTCAATTTTATTATCTTTAATTTTTAACTGTTGTTTTTATTAATTTTTAGTATTTTTATATAAAAAATGGAAGGAATGCCAAGAGCCCCAATGGTTGCACCAGACATGAGAGTACCTTCTCAAGCATTTCCTGAACAGTTAAGACCTGCTATTAAAGAGGTTTTCTTAATTTTTTATTATTTGAAAATTTCTATTTTTAAGTACATTGCTTCGCATTTTCATGATAATCCGAATAAATATGATTCATCGCTGGATGAATTGGAACATCTACGAACGGTTTTAATTTTTCTTTTATGTTCTCAGAGTCCAAGTTTTATTAGGTCTTATTTACGACTTATTTTACCATAAAAGTTATTTTCAGAAGTAGGGGAATTATTCCACTAGGAGAGAGATTCGTTAAAGTTTGTATGACCTAGCGAATAAAACTTGCTGACTTTTGAAGGAAACTAACTTTTTTTAAATAAATTTAATTAAAGGTTGTTAGTCATTGTCGTGCTGATGTTGAAGCTATTTGTATTTCAAAACGTTATTTTGCACAATTATCAATGATGAAAAAACGTTTTCCAATGGAGGAACATGATCCAATTTCGATTCCTTTTGCCTGGTTTTTAAAGATTTTTCTTTTAAAAATTTTTTGTTTTTTAAGGACTGACAGAGGTTTTGATTTGATGAATCAAGTAATTTATGAAGACGTTAATTTTGAAATGTGTTGTGTAATGTTAAATATTGGGGTGGCACATGCATTAGTTGCAGCGGATGAATCACGACTTGAAATGGATGTATATAAATTTTTAATTAAAAAAATTTTTTCGGCAAATGTTTTTCCGTAATTTCTCTGCCTTCGCTCCCTTTCTTTTCTTCCTTCAAAATTTTTTAAGAGTATCAAAAACGCTTTTATGCATTTTCAATGGGCTTCTTGGCCGCTACAACATTTAAGAGATCATATGGGGGCTTCACGTTTTACTCTCAGCGATTTTGAATCTCCTTATTTGACGTTTTATTTAAATATATTTTTGGTTTGTTTTTGTAAAGAAAATATTTTTTTAATTAAAATTTTTAAAGGCTCAAGCACAAGAATGTATGTTAGAAAAATCAATGATAGATCATCGAAAGCCTGTTGTTATTGCTCGTGTTGCACTCCAAACACATGTAATGTATCGGAATTGTGAAGCTTATTTGAAGTCTTCAGGAATTTCTGATTTACTTTCTTCAAGCAAATATTCGGTTAGAAAATTTATTTTTAAACTAGGGTTGGGCACAAACGGTTAATGAACCGGAATTGGAATCCGAAATCGGTGACCAAAACCAGTTTTGTTTCAGTTTTAAGAATACACCTCTAAAGACTGAATTTTTGGGAACTGTTCTCGGTTAACTGAAAACCTGGGGTACCCTAATTTAAATAGGAATAAAAGAAATTTTTCTAAAGGAGTTGGAACGTTTTTGTACCACAAAATCATTTCTATATTCTGCCCTCTACAATTATTATTTGGGACAACAAGCTGAAGATGAAAAACAATCTGGAACACGTTTATTTTACTTTTCGCGTGCTTTGGATTTGATAAAATTAGCACAAAAAGCTGTTGAAAAAGAAAAGAAGAAACAACAACTTGGAGAAACTGTACAATTTGCTTTTGATGTTATTTCACTTTGGTTATTTTTTAAAATAATTTTTAAACTTGGTGCCTGTGAATAAGATGTCCGTTTATTTTGGACATTTCTTGTGGACTTTATCTATCAGGGCCCGAAACCCGGTCGTGTTTTTTTTTTCAATTTTTTGCTTTTTCAACTTTTTTCAACCCGGAATCCGACCCGAGCCCAAACCCGAAGAAAATTTTAGAAGGACCCGACTTTTTTCTCAAACCATGGTATCCCTTCTCCCTAGAACTACAATAAATGTCCTTTAATTTTAATTATAAAAAATATTTTTTTAAGTGAAGAAAATGCTCGTAAAGAAAATAATTTTATTTATCACGAAAGAATTCCATCAGAAGAAGAGTTAACAAAATATGAAGGTGTAATGATGGTTAAACCTTTAAGTTTTGATCCCTGTGATCCTTCTATTGCTGGTGATGATTTATTCCGTGAATTACTTCCAAATGATGTTGTCAAAACAATTTCATTGTATAGTGAAGAAAAAAATAAATTTAAAAGAGAAATACTTGATTTGGTTGCACAAAAGGATTCGGAATTGGAGTATGTTTAACAAATAATTTGGTTAAGTGTATTAAATGTAAAGATTATAAGAAAACAATGGAGGGTCCAGTCCTTTCAACTTAAAACTTTATTTTCTTTTATAAATTTTGTAAAATCTGTCTTTTGGGAAAATTCTTTTTTGGTGTAAAAATTATAAAAACATTTCTAATGTTAATTTTTTGTAGAAATTACTTAATTTCAATGAAGTTTGATCAATTAGAATTAGATAGACCTTCTGAAATGGTTCGACTACCAGATGAACTTTTAACTGCTAGTGCAGCATTGGCAGCACAACCAGATCTTTTCTGTGATTTACTTGATAATTTTCAAAGTTTTTTTTCTTAATTTTTAATAAATAAATTAAAGAAATTTTTTGTAGAAGTTTCTTCATTGGCCACAGAATCAGAAACAAAATTATCAGAATTAAAACAAAGGATGGGAAAAGTAACAGATTCATTTTTTACAAATGACCAAGGATTTATTGCTATAAATCGCAAATTGGATGAACTTACTAAACATGAAGCACAAGCAAAGTTTTTCTTTTTTTAAATAATTTTTTAATAATAAATTTTCTTTTAAGAGAGAATAATACAGAACTTCAAAGAGCGATGGCTACACATTCTAGTAATTTAAAAATGCTCAGTATTCCATTACCTGAATTGACAAAGAAAATTTGTGGAGATTTTACAAATCCAGGTTTTTAATAATATTTTTTTAGATTAGAATGTTTGTTTCTGGACTATGTCGTGTCCCATAAATATGTTATTTTGAGGGTTTTAATATTTTCCCAGCCCTGGTGGCTTTAGACCCAGACCATGGATGTCACTGGTTGAGAAAAAAGTCGGGGACCAGGTCTAAAAAGTCCTGTTTCGGGTAACCCGTGACATTGCTGACCCAGACTCCAGAAAATCTTACAAGAACCAAAAGCAAATATTAGAACCTAAAATCAAATAAACACCTTCCTGAGACATGACCTAAACCAGAAGCAAAATTTTAATAAAAAAAGAATTTTCAATTTTAGGCGACTCTCCAGAAGGCAAAGAACTTCGTCGTGTTATTGATAAAGTTGACGAAATGCGTTCCCAACGTTGTACTTTAATTAAACAATTACGTGATGATCTGGAAATGGATGATATTACAAAGAGGGCATTAACTGAAAGAGAATTAGATTCAAAACAATTATTTGAAAATGAACTACTAAAACATAAAAAATTGAAAGAATTAATTGAACAAAATTTGCGTGCACAAACATTTATATTGAAGTCGTTGACTGAGAAGAATGCAAATTTTGCTGATTGTAGAAGGCAAATTTTGGAAGCAAATGAAAGGTTTTTTTAATTTAAATTTTTAGTAGTCTAAAATTTGAGTTTACCTCTGAGGACCTCCTACTAAATGCATATTGACCGTGAAGACCTACAACCTTTGAAAGAGAATATTGAGGAGATATGAATGGATTTGGGAATCTCTACTCATTACTCATCTCTCTACTCATTGAAGGGATCTCTCTACTCACCCCAGAGTTATGGTACACATTCACACCATAGGTTCCAAAATTTTTACCTTTCATAGAGCTGGTGCTTATCCCCTTTAAACCTTCAATATTCACCTTCAAACGTTACAGGTTCTTCAGATTTGATCCCAAAAATTTTTATTTAATAATTAAAAAAAATTTTAAGTCGTGCATTGCAATCCCTTACTTTAGTAACTGCTTATCAAACATTTATTGATATTGTCGAAAAAACAAATAAAGCATTGGAATTTTATGATCAATTGTTAAAAGTATTAATGGCTTTGGAACGTGGCGTAAAGAATATTGAAGAAATTAGTTTTGTTTTTAAATTTTTTGAAATAAAAATTTTATTTTCTCTTTAAGATAATCAAATCACACTTGAAAAGGAGAAAAAACGCCAAGCTGAAGATTCGAGGCGACGGGCAGAAATGGCTGCACATGAAGAGAAGTTAAGAAAGGAAGAAGCTGCAAGAGAAGCTGCGCGTACAATAAATGAATTCCGTTTTAATCGAGTTTAAAAATGTATAAAAAGGATTTCTATTTACATGTAATGTGAATAAATACCTAAATTTTTAACATACAAATATACTAATTTGTTGATTTTTAATCGATTTTTTCGAAAATTACTAATTTTACATTGTTTTAAGGGACTAATTTTTCTATCATTTTTTTGTTACTACCGAATTATCCCCAATTTTTCTTTCCTTTCCTCCTCCTTTTTTAATAGTAAAAATGGTAAGAATAGTCCCTACTCTGAATCAGCGACCCTGAATTGGCTTCTTTAAATCGGCGACTTTGAATCGTCCCTTACCCCCCAAAACGGCGCGCGACCATAACGGCGCAAAGCCATAACTTGCTTCTAGATTTCCGAATCTCGATAAATTTAGTATTGAACGATTCAACTCATCGAGCTAAATATTTTGATACCAGAATTGATAAGGACCATAAGTTTTTCAGCAAGTTATGGCTTTGCGCCGTTTTGGCCGCGCGCCGTTTTGGGTCTTTCACCCGTTTTTCTCACATTCGAGAAATTTTTGTTTTTCAAATTTTATAATATTTATTTGTATTTTTTTTTTAAAAGTCGCTTTACTTATAATTTTTCATTTAAAAACGTTGTGAATTTTTCTTTTTCGTTTAGTTTTTAGCAAAATGGATAAAAATCCAAAGTCTTCGCAATATGAAATTACTTCAGCTTTATTGAAGCAAGAACGGGAAAAGAATAAGAAATTGTTAGAAGAAAATCAAGCGATGAAATTGTCAATGTCCAAATTACAAGAAATGAAACAATTAAAGCTCGCAAAAGAAGAAAATAAGAAGATGAAAGCAAGAATGGATTTAATGCAGAAGAAATATCAAGAAAAATTGAAAGAATTACATGAAAATCCAATATCTTCGGAGCTTGTTACAAACTACAGAAGAGTAACAAATTTATTCGAGCTAGAAAAAGACAAAGCCAATAAACTGGAAGAAGAAAAAGAAGTGATGAAATCTTCACTGCCTCACTTATATCAATTTCAACTTGAAGCAAAGCGAGAAAAAGAAGAGAATAAGCAATTGAAAGCAGAAATTAATACAATGAAGATTAAATTAGACCAATTACAATCTTTGGTTGATTGGCAAGATCGACGTGAGATGTATGGACTTGAAATATTTCAACCGAAAATACATCAACTTCCCGATAGGAATATGGAACTGGAGGTTTTGTTTATTCTTTTTTTTAGATATTTTTGACTAGTATGAGTTGTTTCCATCCCCCTCCCTCCCTTCCCTCAAATTTCTATTTGGGTGGTGGCTTTCTTAGGGCTTTTCTGACCAATAAGATAGCCTAGCTCTGAAGTGCCTTTAGTTTTATTGGTGAAAATACGGTTTGGGTGAAATGTGCGGACTGCGGACACGGGGTGAGAAAACCAACTTTTTATAGGTGTTTAAGCCATCCCTCGTCTAACATAAGTGTTGTAAGGATTTATTCTTACATTTGAACTAAAAATAAATAAATATATTCTATGTTTTTAAGGAGGACTCGTTTATGCTTGAACCGTTACAAGAAGAACAACCCAAATTACAAGAAGAACAACCCAAATTACAACAAGAACAACCTCGAAAAGTCTCGACGTTTAGCTTAGTATTTGATGGGAGTCCCGAAGATCTGGCCGAGCCAGAAGTCTTTAGAATGCGTGATAAGGTTTATTTTTTGTAATATATTAACTTATTAATTAATATATTTTTGCAGAAGAAAGTTGTTGATGAACACATTGTTGAAGAACGCCTCATCAAAAAAGTTCGATTTGTAGACGAAAAAGAACAAAAGGAAAAAGAAGTTTCAACAACAACAAAAGAAAAAGAAGGAAATGCTAATGAAAAGGAGTCTATTACTGTTAAGAAGCCTCTACAAAAAGAATTGAACATGCCATCAAAAGTTCCAGCAGCTCCAATACTAAAAGTTCCAGCAGCTCCTTTGGAGCAGCAAAACATCTCAACGACAAAAGAACGAGGCAGAACTGATATTAAGATTAAGGTTATTAAATTAATCTGCTACCACCTTACTTTTGATTTTATCTTTTAAGCCTGCTAATCAACAAAGCGACAAAAATGATGATGGGGGAAATCTAAAGGAGAAGCCAAAGGTTAATATTTTGTTTATTGGGGAATTTATTTATGGCAGATTTTGACATCCGCTAAATTAAATTATTAACTTGACGGATTTTGGTACTTGTGGGGTATCCCAAACCAGTTATTGCGGATAATTTATGCGGACAAGTATTGGTACACACACATGATTCGGTTCTTATTCTTGAAGATGTTGAATCATAGTATAGAGACTGATAGAGGCAAAGAAAATCAGTTTTCAGAAAACCTCACCCATTTGCATTTCCATACAAAACTGCTTTCTCCAAAATGTATTTTGGAAGCCCCTCACTTCATTTTGCCCCACACCTTGTATGCATATCTTTTCTTTATTGGTGAACTCATTTAAATGATGCCACAGGTGAAATTTGGTAAAATCGAGGAAGGAAAACCCTTTGACCATTCCGTACATGAGTCCGTATAAATATGTCCGCAAACACTGGTTTCGCATAACCCACAAGTACCCAGTTTTATACGATATATGATTTGCGGATATAATTTTAATTTGTTTATTTTTGCAGAAGAGAGTTGCTGATGAACACATTGTCAATGAACGCCACGCCATTAGAAAAATTCGATTTGTAGACGATAAAAACGAAAAGGAAAAAGATGTTTCAACAGCAACAAAAGAAAAAGAAGGAAATGCTAAAGAAAAGGAGTCTATTCCTGTTAAGAAGCCTCTACAAAAAGAATTGAACATGCCATCAAAAGTTCCAGCAGCTCCAATAATTACAATAAGTAATTTGAAGCAACAGAATATCTCAACGACAAAAGAAGCAAAAGAACGAAGCAGAACTGATATTAAGATTAAGGTTATTAAATTAATTTGTTACAGCTTTATGATTTTATCTTTTAAGCCTGCTAATCAACAAAGCAACAAAAATGATGGGAAAATTCAAAAAGAGAAGCCGAAGGTTAATATTTTGTTTATTGGGGAATTTATTTTAGAGGGCTTTTTGGGAATCCCGCGGCCATTTAATTTTTGGATTTATCTTACATTAACTTAAGATTTATGTTTGGATGGTTTCCTACTGAAATTTCACCCAAAAATTGGATTATTTATTTCGATTTTTGATTAACCTTTTTTCTTTTTCAGGTGAACAAAATTAAGCATTCAAAAAGAAAGGTGGGAAAATTAAATAAAATATTCAAATAGAATTTTGAATTTTTAGCATGTCTCCAAAAGTGAAAGGAAGAAAAGAGGGCGTACAAACGCGGAAATAAAAAAGAAGATAAATGAAGGGCGTTCACTCGCTGAAATAAAGAAGCTGATAAATAAAGAGAAGAAGAGGAGGGGGGAAGTAAAGAAGATGAAGAAGGAAGAGGGAATTAAATGATTTATTTTTGTTATTTTTATTTTTTAATGGAATCTCTATAACGACGTTTATTTGGCCAGCATTTTTGTATTTGACTCTAAAACGGCTAAAACAATGTCAGTGTATAGAGACTCAATTTGTTGACATTCTTGCTCTATCTTATTTTTTTTATTTTAAATTTAATAGAATAAATTTCCAATTAAAAACTAGAAATCCATAAATAGGTTTTAGAACAGTTCTATCTTTGCCGTTTAACAATATTAGTTTCAGAATTCAAAAATCTGCGCTATTTGGCATAATGCAATTAAGAATAAATGACACTTCATCCCAAAATCAATAATCGATTTTTGATACTTCGTTTGGAGTCCTCTGTTGTCCATCTTTAGCAAAGATGTTCTACAACAGAATGCGTGGCTTTTCCTTAGGGAATTAACCTTTTTAGGGGGGAGGAAAGTATTGAGTTGCGGACAAGACTTGCAATTTTTCAATTTTTGAAAAATGTATCCAATTTTTTCAGTGCTTCAACAGCAGCAGCAACAAACAACTTCAACAGCAGCAGCAACAAACAACTTCAACAGCAGCAGCAACAACAAAAGTCCCAATGTATCGCTTCGGCGGTATATGGGCAACCCAATGTATCGCTTCGGCGGTATATGGGCAAAAGTCCCAATGTATCGCTTCGGCGGTATATGGGCAAAATTCCCAATGTATCGCTTCGGCGGTATATGGGCAAAAGTCCCAATGTATCGCTTCGGCGGTATATGGGCAAAAGTCCCAATGTATCGCTTCGGCGGTATATGGGCAACCCAATGTATCGCTTCGGCGGTATATGGGCAAAAGTCCCAATGTATCGCTTCGGCGGTATATGGGCAAAAGTCCCAATGTATCGCTTCGGCGGTATATGGGCAAAAGTCCCAATGTATCGCTTCGGCGGTATATGGGCAAAAGTTTAAACTCCAATGCTCTCGTCTACATGGTTAGCTTTTTTACTTTATTAAATTTGCAAGTTTTGTCCGCAAGGTTCCTCCCCTAAATAAGTTTATCCTTTCCCAATGTTAAAGCCAATTAAACGGTGGCCAAGTTCTTGTCAAATGAGAAGACGTACAGCAGATGACCCATTGATTAGATGCGTTGATTTGTTTGTTTTGAATGGTTGATCTTTTGATAGGTTGTTTTTATGTATAAATGATTTTTAATTACTTAATTTTCAGCTTTGCGAGAGTATCCAGAAGCCTTAAAAATTTTTAAGAGGTTATTTTTAATTGTTTATTATGGTTTCAAGATTATTTTTAGGCCGGTGAATTGTTGCGGAAAGACTTTTTGATGAGAATGCGGTAATAGTGTCGTTTCCAGTCCGCATTTTTCCTCCCCAATTTTTTACCCTATGTTTGTACGGAATGGTCAAATTTTCCCCTTTCTTTCATCAAATTTGCCTTTCCATATTTTGCCTAAAAACAATTAAAAAGATTAATTTGTGATATTTAAATAAGTATTAGAGTAATGAGAAGAATCATTTTCCCAATTAATAAAAATGAAAGACTGTTGTTGTGAGACGAAAATATGAAAGAGGCAGACAA